GCTAATTTTTTATATATATATACTTTTAGTTGTCCAACTGATTTCTTTCTATGTTTTTAGTAGATATAGGGTCTCGCTCTTGCTCAGGCTGGTCTCAAACTCCTGAACTCAAACGATCCACCTGCCTCTGCCTCCCAGAGTGCTAGGATTTACAGGCCTGAGCCACGGAGCCCGGCCAATATAATACTTTAAGCAAAGTTACACAAAAGTTGCAAAAGTGGTAATCAGGACTTCTTTCTATGTACTCTTTATCTGGATTCACCTGTTGCTCACATTCTGCCCCGTTTGCTTCATTGCATAAAAACCTTTATTTCTGGAACCACTGGTACGACATCATGCCCTTAGCCCTCACACGTTAGCGTGTTTCCTGACCACACGAGCTCTGCCCGCTGTCGCGGTGGGAGGTCCGACCCACACAGTGACATTCCTGGTGCTGAGCCTGCTGCGGCTAGCCTGGCTGGCGTCCGTTTTCGTGTGCCCCCCAGGCTGGGTGGTTCCTTGGCCTTTCCTGTTCTTTACCTTTTATCTTTCTTGGCGGGAGGGTTCCGGGAGCACAGGGCAGCTGTTCTGCAGAACGTCCCCCATGCTGGGTCTGTGCTGCGTCTTCTCGCGACGGGGCTGAGTCTTGCGTTTGGGCAGAGACCACGGAGCTGTCGCGCCCTCCTCGGGGCCCTGTGTCCGGGGGCTTGTGACTCTGTCCGTTCTGTCCTGGGATGTGGATGTCGGGAGTCCAGGGAAGAGACCGGGCCCGGTGACAAAGTGCCGCCGGCATCCGCGTGATCAGGCCAGAGCGGAGGTGCCGTCGCCTGCAGAACTTCCTGCTGCGGCTGGCAGGGCACCCGTGGGAAGGGGCCCCGGCTTGCGCTCGAGGGGGCACTTTTCACTTCTGTCGTGCACTCGGCACGAGAAAGCCGCAGGTGTGAAAGGGCGAGAAAACAGCAAGTCCCTCCCGTCCAGCCACGTTCACTTCTGTCTCCGTAACAGGTGTTTGTACTTTACGCATGTTTTTGTTCTTGCAATCCTGTGCACCTCAGTTTCCTCCTCCTTTTTTGAGACAGAGTCTCACTCTGTTGTCCCGGCTAGAGTGCCGTGGCGTCAGCCTCGCTCACAGCAACCTCCAACTCCCGGGCTCAAGCGATCCTCCTGCCTCAGCCTCCCAAGTAGCTGGGACTATAGGCATGCGCCACCATGCCTGGCTAATTTTTTCTATTTTTGGGAGAGATGGGGTCTCGCTCTTGCTCACGCTAGTCTCAAACTCCTGAGCTCAAACAATCTGCCCGCCTCAGCCTCCCAGAGTGCTAGGATTACAGGTGTGAGCCACCGCGCCCAGCCAATGGCTACTTTTCAGTGGCCTCAGAATAAGAATAATTTCATGGCAGGGGTGGGGGAGGCTGCCAGCAGACCCCCAGGGGCACTGGGGCGTCCAGGTCTGTTGTGAGTAGAAAGGAAGCTGCAGCCGCCGGGCAGCTCACGCCTGTAACCTCCCTGCACTTTGGGAGGCCGAGGCGGGAGGATCGCTTGAAGTCAGGGAGTTTGAGACCAGCCTGGGCAACAGCAAGACCGGGTTCGACTACAGCAGCAAAGAGAAAGGCTGCCGTGAGCCCCAAACACGCACATACGTCGCTTGTCTTCACACAGGTGTGTCTGCGGAGCCTCGGGTGAAGGGCGTGTGCCCTGCGCTTCTGGGGGCCCGGTTGCCATGGCGGCGCTGCGGGCGGGCCGAGGGCAGGGCAGGGTCAGCTCTTGCTCATCACGGAGGTGAAATGTTATCCTGTGGTTCTAATTTTCACGTCCTCGGAATGAGGTTGAACATTTTCCCTACACTTGGAGCAATTTCTATTTTTTTTGGGGGGGGGGCGGGTATCAAATGATCCTTTCCTGAAATCCTTTCCTTTGTACTTTCCGGCTGGCTGGGCATCCACGGCCCCGCTGTCCATGCCACCTGTGATGCCACCGGGGGTGGCGGCCATCAGCACCGCGGCCCGCAGACGGGCAGTCCCGGGATCTCTTCGGTGGTTCCAGAGAGTTCTGTGGCTAAAGATCCGTCTGGTGACGTTGACACTCTCATCCAAAGTGGTATTTCCGTTGTGTTCAACGGTTTTCTGTTTCTGTCTGTCTCTTGGTGGTTCCTTGGCTGTGATGGCTGGGGCAGAGGCAGAAGGTGCCACTTCAGGCTGGGCCTGTCTGTTCTGAGCGGTCAGTTTCACTGTGAACTCAGACCTGCCAGTCACCGGTTGCCTTGGCGATGTCATCACCAGCCTATTTTGGAGACAGACCCAGGGGGCGGATCTTGGGGGCCAGGGCAGGTGTGCCACCGGCTTCGCCACCCGGGCATGTCGGGTGCACGACTTTGATCTCGTTGGGGTCGAGCTTGGCGGCTGGTGTCGGGTTGACCCGGATTTGGGACCCAAGAACGTTGCCCCTTGGCCTCCTCCGAGCCGAAAACCAAAAGTATTTCTCTTTGTAAAATAGTGCTCCACATCCTTTGCCTGTTTTTCTCTTGGAATCTTTTTCTAATTTATTGGATCTGTAAGGTATACATTGAAGAAATTAGACTTTCAGCTGTGATAGGAGCTGTGCATTTTTTTCAGTTAGTATTTGGCTTTTGACTGTATTGATGGTGTTTTTCTTTCCCACATGAACTTGTTTCATTTTTGTGAGGTTGAGCGTATCAGTGGGGCGCTCGTGGATGTTCAACAACTGGTTTTCTAGGGAGGGAAAACAACGCCCCGCCCGCCAGCGCGTGCTGGTCTGCGTTCCTCGTGTGCCCCTCGTGCCGAGCGGGGCAGTCCTGGTGCTCTGAGCAGGAGGGCTCCTTCCTGCTCAGCCCTGCTGGGTGGCGGGCGTCCCTCTTAGAAAGGCCTTTCCCATGGCAACATTACTAATAAAGAGCACATTCTACCTTGGTTTCTCTGGGTACCTCTGTGGTTGATCGGTTCCCTTTTTTTTTTTCCCCAGCACAAGCTCTGCAGTTCTATGTGGCTGATCAGTTCTTCCTGTGCAAATCTTTGTCCCACCTGCCAGTTAATTTTGGTGGTAGGTGCTGGGTGGAGACCTCCCTTCCATTTTTGTTTTAAGATGATATCCAGTTCTCACAAAACCTGCTGCGTGAGCCACCAGGGGGACCCCCTGGTCTGAAATGCTGTCACCGCGCCCGGACCCGTGTGTGCCTCAGTCTGCTCCCGGACTCCCCTTCCTGTCCGCATCTGCGTCCCCGCGCCGCAGGCTCTTGCTGTAGCTGTGCTGCGTGTCCTAGCGCCCAGTCACCCTCAAACCCGCCAGAGGCCTTTTCAATCATTTTCCTGCCGGTTCCCTCGTTTATCTCATGCTTTTGCATACGAACTTTCAGGATGCTGTGCACCTGGCCCTCCAATTCCTCTTACCATTTCGCTGACATTGTATCACACTCATAGGTAGATTTGGGGAGAACTGACATCCCTGCGAGATGTGAAGTCTCTCTGTCCAAGAACATAGTAACATAGTACCCCACACCACTTTATTTTTATTTTTATTTATTTATTTATTTATTTATTCTTTTTTTTTTTTTTTTTTTTTTTTTTGAGACAGAGTCTTGCTTTGTTGCCCAGGCTAGAGTGAGTGCCGTGGCATCAGCCTAGCTAACAGCAACCTCAGACTCCTGGGCTCAAGCGATCCTCCTGCCTCAGCCTCCCGAGTAGCTGGGACTACAGGCAAGCGCCACCATGCCCGGCTAATTTTTTTTTATATATATATATTAGTTGGCCAATTAATTTCTTTCTATTTATAGTAGAGATGGGGTCTCGCTCTTGCTCAGGCTGGTTTCGAACTCCTGACCTCGAGCAATCCGCCCACCTCGGCCTCCCAGAGTGCTAGGATTACAGGCGTTTATTTATTTTTTTTGAGACAGAGTCTAGCTCTGTTGCCCAGGCTAGAGTGCCGTGGCATCAGCCTAGCTCACAGCAACCTGGAACTCCTGGGCTCAAGCAATCCTCCTGCCTCAGCCTCCCGAGTAGCTGGGACTACAGGCATGCACCACCATGCCCAGGTAATTTTTTCTATATATTTTTAGTTGGCCAATTAATTTTTTTCTATTTTTAGTAGAGATGGGGTCTTGCTCTTGCTCTTGCTCAGGCTGGTTTCAAACTCCTGACCTTGAGCAATCTGCCTGCCTCAGCCTCCCAGTGTGCTAGGATTGCAGGCGTGAGCCACCGTGCCCGGCCCCACACCACTTTAAATGGTGTCCGTCAGCAACATTTCACAAAGTTTTGCATATTTTTAAAGTGGTCCCTGAGTCTCTTGTTGCTGTTTTTATGGGCTCTATTTGTGTAGGGCTGCTCTTGTACGAAGGTTCCTGGTGTGACTGTTAGTGGCATTCCCAGCCCCGTGGTGGCTTAAATGGGACACATCCCTGAGACCCCTGCCGACAGGGTGCCTTGGGGTGAGGAAGACGCTGCTGTGGGGGGGAGGGCGAGGCAGCGGTTGTGGTTGTGGGCTGCTGTGTGGTTATCTCACAGCAGGGAATGGCAGGGTGGGTGGCCAGGCTGGGGCTCCCCTGAGCTTGCAGTCTGCTGGCTGGGGCTGTCTTTGGCAGGAGGCCACAGGGGACACTGGAGGGTCCCCCCAGAGCCAGGGACAGGCCACTGCTGGGCAGGGGTCTCCAGGGCCAGGCAGGGGTCTCAGCTTTGTGGCTAGCCAGCGCTCAGCCAACTCAGCCTTCACAGCCGCAATGACTCGACTTACCCGCGGCTGAGGGTGGGAGGCTTGTGCGGGACCCCCGTGGGACCGCCGCGGAGCTGCCCTCCAGAACCGGGAGTGAGAACCCCGAGTGAGGAGTCCCGAGCCGGGGTGTTAAGGGGTTGGATGTGCCGGTCTGGCCGCCTTCCCCAGGAAGCCCTCTGCACTCTAGCACTGCGGGCCCCTGGGGGATCGGCCGGGGGCGGGAGCTCTCGGGCGGGGCGGGGGCGTGTCGCCAGGCGGGGCGGGTGGGCAGTGAGGTAATTTCCGCGATCCGGCGGCGGAGCCTGAGTCGCCCGGGGCAGAATCGAAACTCATCGCAGAACCGAAAGTGATCGAGGGGCGCCCGGGAGCGGCCGCTGGGCCGTGGGGCGGCGGAGGGTGAGTGCGGCCGGCAGGGGTCTCCGGCCGGGCGGGGGTGGCAGCGGGCGGGGGGCTCTGGGGCCGGGCTGGGGTCTCCACACTAGGGTCTCCGGGCCGGGCAGGGGTGGCAGCTGGAGGGGGTCTCTGGGCCGGGCTGGGGTCTCGGCAGGTGGGGGCTCCGGGGCCGGGCTGGGGGTCTCCGGGCCAGGTTGGGGCTGGCAGCGGGGGGAGGTCCCCATGCTCAGGACCCGCCGCCCAGCCCCAGTCGGGTGGCAGCGCAGCCCCCGGGAGCGTGGGGGTCTTGCGCCAAAACTTTGTCCCCGCCGGCTGCGGCTGTGGGCTTTGGAGTCAGCTCGGGCGACTTTTGGGACCGTGGACTCAGTTTCCCGGGGCAGCGGTGGGTTCGCAGACGGTCTGCGCTTTCTGCCTCTCCTAATGTTTGCCCTGAAGGTCCCTTAGACCCAGCCAGCAGCGTGCAGGGAGCTGTCCCCTGCCCCATCCCGGCTGCGGTGGGGACAGCTGAGACGAGTGGAGTCCCCACTTCTCCCCTGCACCCCTGGGGGGACTCTGACCCAGACGCCCCACTTCACAGGCCAGGCCTCTGCTAGGCTGGGCCCCCGCCTGGGACACCCCCTGCCCAGGTCAGGCTGGGGGTGTCTGTTCCTAGGAACCAGCTATCACTTCACAGAGGGGGTGCCGTGTCTTTGGAAGGCTGGGGGCTGGGGGCCTTTGGGTGCACAGGACCCCGGAGGGGGTTCTGCTCTGGGGGAGCTGCCGGCCATAAGGGCTCTGCCCCCTCCCGGGCTCCAGGGGCCCCAGCAGCCCCACAGCAGCGGCTTTGGTGGCTCTTGGGCAGGGCCTGGAGAGACCCTTCCGGAGGTTGGGGCTGGGGTCCGGTCAGTGGGCCCTGACTCCCTCGACAGGCCCAGGCTGCCGGCCACAGCGAGTCCTGGGCATCAGGTTGGGCAGGGAGAGGGTCCTGTGTCTGAGCCCCCTGGGGGCAGGGCGCCTCTGGCCTCAGCCCGCCCTTGTCCCTCCTGTCCCAGACTTCACACCTCCGGGCAGTCCCAGTGCACCAGCTGAGCTCAGCAGCCTCAGATCCCGGCCCGAAGATCCAGGCCAGCGTCGGAGATGGAGGCCCCGGGGTCCCGTCCGTCGCCTGCCAGCCCCACCGCCAGCAAGGGGGTGTCCCTGGCCAGGCTGCACGCCCAGGTGGAGCTGCACCTGGGCTGCTCCCGCTGCACGCAGCGCCTCAACGAGAGCACGTACGTCCTGCGTGGCGTGGAGCACAGCTGCCCCCGCGAGATCCTGCTGGCCCGCTTCAAGCAGGCCACCAAGAGCAAGATCTGGCGCAAGGTGGGCCGCCGGCCCAGCTTCCCAAGGCCTTCCCGCTACCAAGTCTGCCGCTACTACAGCCCGGGGCTCGGCTGCCGGCGCCACCGGAACCAGTGCACCTTCGCCCGCAGCCCCGAGGAGGCCCTGGTCTGGACCTTCGAGCGCGAGCACAACCTCCAGCGCCTGTGGCTGAAGGCCGCGGTGCAGGGCGGCGGCGGGGCCCAGGGCGGGGCCGGCGGGCCGGGCCGGGCGGCCGACGCCATCAGAGAGGAGTTTGGCGGCCACTTCGAGCTGCTGTGCTCCCTGTGCTTCCGGCGCAGCCCCCCGCACATCTGCCGGGTGGACCCCCAGGGCCGGTGCCCTGAGCACGGAGCCTGCCCCTCACTCCTGACCCACGTGAGGGCCAAGGGCCGCAGCAAGCTGCAGTTCCTGGAGGTGCGGCCACAGCCCCAGTACGGCCAGCCGCTCGCCTACTGCATGTTTGTGGGCCGCGGGCAGCCGTGCCGGCACGGGGCCTCCCGCTGCCAGTACGCGCACAGCGCCGTGGAGATGGCCGTGTGGGAGGCCGAGCTGCGGGGCAGCCTCAAGCGGGAGGACCTGCTTGTGCCTGTTGCCCCCAGGGGCGGGCGCACAGCCCCCCTCAGCCAGCCCCCCGGGGCCCAGCTGTACTGCCACGCCTGCCGGATCACCTGCCACTCTCGGGAGGCTTTCGAGAACCACTGCTCCTCCTGGGAGCACACACACATGGTGGCCCTGGACCTGGCCGGGCCCTGGGAGCACCGCCGCCCCCCCATGGGGCTCTCCACGTTCGAGCTCTGCCCAGAGTAAGGGTGCTTGGGTGGGAGCATAGGGTGGGGATGAGCTGCCAAGGCCAGAGCCAAGGCCCCTCATGTTCACGGGGGCCTAGGGCCTCCCTGCCACCTGCCGGGGCCTCCCGGGACCTGGGTAAAGAAGTCCATGCCCTGCTTGGGAGTGGACAGGGAGGTGAAGTCCCTGCTCCCTGCCACCCTCTGGCCTGGAGCCTATTCCTGCTCCCCCCGCCCCACAGGCCAATCCTAGGCCACGGGGGTCCCAGCCCTTGCGCCAGCCATGGTGGCTGCACCTGTGTGAGGCCCTGCTAACGAACGCCCCTGTCCCAGGCCTGCCCGCTGCGAGTACGGGGACGTGTGCACCAAGGCGCACTCGGTGCAGGAGCTGCAGGAGTGGGTGCAGAGGGTGCAGGCTGCGGGGCTGCGGGAGCAGGCGGCCTGGCAGGACGGGCTGGTGCCCTACCGCGTGCGGCTGCTGGCCGAGTACCAGGACGGCGGCGGCCAGGCCCTGGTGGTGAGTGGGGCCCTGTGGGCAGGTGTGGGGCGGGGCCAGGGCAGCCCTGCTGAGGGCCGGCTCCCCTGCAGCTGGCCGAGACCGTGGAGGGCGTGTCCGTGTCCTGCGACCAGCCGCTGGCGCATCAGGCCCGGGAGAAGAGGACGCAGCACAGCTGGGTGTTCACCGTCCGGTCGGAGGTGAGGGTGAGCGCGGCGCCCCAGCCTCACGCCGGCCAGGCGCCCCAGCCCCGGGGGAGGGGCGGCGGGGGTGAAGACCACACGGTGGGCTGACGAGGGGAGCCTGGGGTCTGGGCCGACACCCGGGCACCGCCTCTGGGTGTCTGTGTGGCCTGCAGCAGGGCCTCAGCCTCTCTGCCTCAGTTTCCTCACCCGCACACAGGGTGACTGAGACGTGCCCGGGGCCCGCCGTGTCTGGGCCCAGGGAGTGAGGGACAAGCCCCAGGGACTCAGGCAGGTTGTGTGAGGCCCCGCTTTGCAGGGGAGCGAGCTGAGGTCGAGAGAGTCTCAGTGACCTGCCGGGGCCACTCGCCAGCTAGTGGCAGAGCCGGGACCGAGCCCCACGCTGTGGTCGCACCGCCCGGCGGCGTCTCGGAGGGGACGGGTGCCGGGCCCACCTGGCCCTGACTGTCCTCCCCAGGACCCCCTGCTGCACGTGGCCCTGCTCAAGCAGGAGCCGGGCGCGGACTTCTCCCTGCTGGCGCCCGGCCTCCCGCCAGGCCAGCTCTACGCGCAAGGCGAGCGCTTCCGCCAGCCGGGGTCCCAGACCGACTTCCGCGTGGGAGTGCGCGTGCAGACCACCTCCTTCGGCACCTTCAAGCAGTGGGTGGCCTTTGACTTCGGCCGCCGGCCGGTGCTGCTTCAGGAGCTGGAGCTGGAGCTGGGCCAGGTGCACTGCCCGGGGCTCCGGGGGGCGGCAGTGCCCGGCAGCTCGGAGGAGCTGGAGCGCTGGCACGCCGGCAACCGCCACGTGGTGCCCGGCGTGGAGCGCACGGCCGAGCAGACGGCCCTGCTGGCAAAGTACAAGGTGCCCGCCCAGGCCCTGGGGATCACGGGCAGCAGCCCTGCCCCGGGCCCCCTGTCTCGCAGCAACTACCGGCAGAGGATGCACCAGTTTCTCCACGAGGAGGAGGCCGCTCAGCAGCGGCTGGTGGCCAAGTGAGTGGGGCCGGCGGGCGGGCGGGCAGGGTGGCTGGGAGTCGGCACTTGGAGCTCGGCCGGCAGCTGTGGCCCTGGGGGCTGACCCAGGTCCTCCTGCCAGGCTGTCCCTTCGGGCCCAGGTGTCCCTGAAGACGGCGCTGCAGACGCCAGCCCTGGGCATGCTCTTCGCGCCACCCGGAGCGCTCTACGCCGAAGTCCCCATCCCCGCCTCCCTGACGCCGGACACAGAGCAGGGCTTCCTGCTGGGCCGGGCGGTCAGCACGGCCCTGGTGGCCCCCGTGCCCGCGCCCGACAGCACGGTGTTCGAGGCGCGGCTGGAGCCGCGGGCCAGGTCGGAGCAGGCGCTATGGCTGCTCCTGCCGGCCCCCTGCTGCGAGGCCCTGGGGCTGCGGCCCGAAGCCAGCCCTGTCCTGGAGGTGCAGTTCCAGGTCGACCCGCTGACCTTCTGCCTCTGGCACCAGGCTGTGGACGCGCTGCCCGAGGAGCGCCTGGTGCTGCCCGACCTGCCGGCCTGCGTCCTGCCCTGCCCGCGGCCAGCCCCGGCCTCCGTGCGCGGCAACTGCAAGCAGAAGCTGGCCATGGGGCTCATCGCGGGCAGCGGCCCCCCGGACGGGAGGCCCGTGTCCCCGCTGCTCATCTACGGCCCCTTTGGCACCGGCAAGACCTACACGCTGGCCATGGCCTCCCTGCAGGTCCTGCAGCAGCCGCACACCAGGGTGCTCATCTGCACACACACCAACAGGTGGGCTCCAGGCCTCCACGCCGGGCAGCAGTTCCAGTCCCCAGCCCTTGCAGGGGCTCTCCCCACAGGGGTTGGCCTGGGCTTCACCAGGCGGGGACTCCCGGGGGTGGGCCTGCTGTCGGGTGAGGGGCCGAGGGGCCTGCGCAGAGGCCGGGACCGAGGAGAGAGCCGTGGGGAGCGTCCGGCGTGGCCCTCCCAGCACTTCCTGGAGCAAAGGTTGCTTCCGATGTTTACGGAAGCAGGTTTCCCCTCTGGCCAGCGTGGCCTCCTCGCCCATCCGACTCCCCTGCCAGCAGGAGGAAGAGCCCAGGACAGCAGCCAAGTGCTGCTCTGGTCTCTGCAGAGTGTCTGAAGGGCTGGTGGGGCGAGGCCGTGCCCGGTGCCCGCAGCCCTTCCCTGGCCTCTGCCCTTGACCCTGCCCTAGGCCACAGGCGCCGGCTGTGGCTGCCCACCTGGCAGCGTCTGGGGCTGTGCTCGGGCTGTCTTTCTTTCCAGTCCACACGGGCAGCTCCTTTGGCTCCTCCGGGGAGCCCTCCCTGACCACCTGGCTCTCTGCATTGCCCTGTCCTCCTTGGCTCTGACCTTCCTTCCTTTCCATCGGTGTGCCCGTCCCCGCCGCCGGCCTTGAGCTGCAGGGGCAGGACCCGCGTCTGTCTGCCTGGCCGGGGTCCCTGGGATCCAGCGGGCTGGGCGCGTGGTGGGAGCCTCGGCCTGCCCCTGAGGCCCGGTGAGCAGCCACGCCCTTCCCCACAGCGCCGCCGACATCTACGTGCGGGAGTATTTCCACGGCCACGCCAGCAGCGGCCACCCCGAGGCGGCTCCGCTGCGGGTGATGTACGCGGACCGGCCCCCCAGCCAGACGGACCCGACCACGCTGCGCTACTGCTGCCTGACCCAGGACCGCCGGGCCTTCCGCCCGCCCACGGCGGCAGAGCTGGCGCAGCACCGCCTGGTGGTCACCACTACCACCCAGGCCCGCGAGCTGGGGGTGGCCGCCGGCTTCTTCTCGCACATCCTCATCGACGAGGCCGCCCAGATGCTGGAGTGCGAGGCCCTCACCCCGCTGCGCTACGCCGCGCCCGGCACCCGCGTGGTGCTGGCGGGCGACCACATGCAGGTGGCGCCCAAGCTGTTCAGCGTGCCCGGGGCCAGGGCGGCCGAGCACACGCTGCTGTTCCGCCTCTTCCTGCACTACCAGCAGGAGGCGCACCCGGCCGCCCGGCAGAGCCGCGTGGTCTTCCACGAGAACTACCGCTCCACGGACGCCATCGTCAGGTTCGTCTCCCGCCACTTCTACCTGGCCAAGGGCAGCCCCATCCAAGCCAGCGGCAACGTCCCACGCCACCCCCGCCACCCCCCCCTCATGTTCTGCCACGTGGCGGGCCGCCCCGAGCGGGACCTGACGCGGACGTCCTGGCTGAACCCGGCGGAGATCGTGCAGGTGGTGGAGAAGGTGCAGGAGGCCTACGACACCTGGCCCGGCTGCTGGGGCGGCCGGGAGCAGAGATTCATCTGCGCCGTCTCCCACGGCGCCCAGGTGAGCCGGCCCCTCTGACCGCTCCAGCCTTGGTCTCCCCACCGGTAGGGGGCTCAGGCCCCGGGGGTGTGCGGGGCTGGGGCGGGGCCGTCCTTGCAGGCGGAGGGCAGGCGCCCGCTGCCCCGCCCCTGTCGCCCGCAGGTCGGCGCACTGAGGCAGGAGCTCAGGAGGAGGAACCTGGGCGAGGTGTCGGTGGGCAGCTTCGAGATCCTGCCAGGTGGGTGACCGGGGCGGGGCCGCGGGTGGGGGCACCTGGCCCCCGCCCGGCGCCCGGCTGACGCCCCTCCCCCGCAGGCCGGGAGTTCCGCGTCGTGGTGCTGAGCACCGTGCACAGCCGCGACAGCCTGCAGGGCCCCGGGGCGCCGACCGCAGGCTTCTTCACGGACGCCCGCGTGCTCAACACGGTCATGACCCGCGCCCAGTCCCAGCTGGTGGCCGTGGGCGACGCCGTGGCCCTCTGCTCCTTCGGGGCCTGCAGCAAGCTCTGGAAGAGCTTCGTCCGCGAGTGCGTGCAGCAGCGCAGCGTCTGCCCCGCGGGGCTGTCGCTGGAGCAGATCGAGCAGGCCGTGGGCCGGGGGCAGCGCGCCGCCCTCAGGGCAGAGGGGGCCGGCGCCGCTGCGCCCAGCATGGCCGTCCCGGAGGGGCCCGCGGGCGGCCCGGCCGCCCAGTGCACAGCTGCCGCCACAGCCACGGCCGGTGCAGGCGTCGGGGACCGGGCCTCGTGTGCCACGGCCCGTGGCGCCACGGCAGAGGGGGGTCCCACGGCGGTGCAGGTGGCGGCCAGGCCGGCGGGAAACGCAGCGGCAGCAGCAGCGCCCACCACGGAGGGCGGGGAGTGCGAGGACACCGAGTCCGACTTCTGGCCGTGTGACGGGGAGCTCAACGCGGACGACCCCATCCTGCAGGAGCTCCTGGACGAGAGCCGGAAGGTGACGGTGACCGTCGGGGAGGACGGGCTGCTGCAGACGGTCGCCAGGCCCGCCGGCCCGCGCCAGGCCTGGCGCTACGAGAACCTGCCGCTGGCGGCTCTGCACAGGCTGCTGGCCAGGGAGCCCGCGCTGCACCGCCGCTGCGCCTTCCTGCCGGAGACCTTCGACCGCGCGTCCGCCGTGCCGCTGGACGGCGGGGCCTCCGGCGCCATCCAGCTCAGGGGCCGCCGGAACTGTGGCATGGCGTTTGCCGGTGACGAGGTGCTGGTGAAGGTCCTGCCCGGGGCCGCTGGCGACGGGGGCGCCGCGGAGCGTCCGCAGGGCCGTGTGGTGGGCGTGCTCAAGAGGCGGCGGCAGGACCTGGCCTTCGTGTGCCGCGTGGACGAGTGGGACCCCCGCATCATGGTCCCCATCAACAGCTCCGTGACCAAGATCTTCGTGGCCGAGCTGAAGGACCCGCTGCAGGTGCCCCTCTACTGCCTGCACCAGGGCCGGGTGCAGCGCGTGGGCCAGGAGAGGCTCACGCCCGAGGCGCGGCGTGGCCGGCTCTTCTGGGTCCGCGTGGTCCTGTGGCGGACGCGCTTCTACTACCCGCTGGGCGTCGTCCTGGAGGTGCTGCCCGAGGCCACCAGCTGGGACCGGGCCCTCCGCGTCCTGGACCTGGAGTACGGCCTGAGGGCGCCCTCGCCGGACCCGGCCGCTGTCGCCAGGGCTCTGCAGAAGCACCGTGCGGAGCTGGGCCGCGCCGGCGGCCAGCGGGAGGACTGCCGCCGCTTCCTGACCTTCACGGTGGACCCCCAGGGCGCCTGCAACCTGGACGACGCCCTCAGCGTCCGGGACCTGGGCCCCCAGTACGAGGTGGCCGTGCACATTGCGGACGTGGCCAGCCTCCTGCCCAGGGACGGGCCGCTGGACGTGGAGGCCCGCAGGCGGGGCACGGCGTTCTACGCGCCCGGCCGGGAGCCGGTCCCCATGCTGCCGGCCGGCCTCTGCCGGGACGCGCTCAGCCTCCTGCCGGGCCAGGACCGCGCGGCCCTGTCGCTCTTCCTCACTGTGGAGAAGGGCAGCGGCCAGCTCGGGGGCTGGCGCTTCGGGCCGTCCGTGGTCTGCTCCGACCGGCAGCTGAGCTACGAGGAGGCCGAGCGGGCCATCCGGGAGCACCCGGGCGTCCCGGCCCAGCTGGACTCCGTGGACGCCTGCCTGGTGGCCGCGTTCCACCTCTCCCGCGAGCTGCGCCGGCGCCGCCTGCAGGGCGCCTGTCTCTACGAGCAGATGGACGAGGACAGCGCCCTGGGCTTCCGCGCAGCCCACCTCATGGTCAAGGAGTACATGATCCAGTTCAACAGCCTGGCGGCGGAGTTCCTGGCGGGCAGCGAGCGCACCCGCGCGGTCACGCCGCTGCGCAGGCAGCCGGCGCCCAGCAGCCACCAGCTGGAGGCCGTGTCCCAGAAGCACGGGCCACTCGTGCCCCTGTCGCTGCACCTGCGCCACCACCTGCGTGCTGGCGGCCGCCCCGCGCCGCGGCTGCAGCTCCTGGCCTCCCTCTGGAAGCAGGTGCAGCTCGCCGCGTGTGGCGGGGACTACGAGCAGATGGCGGACTTAATCGCCACGGACGACGTGCACCCCTCGCTGGCGCCCGCGGGCCTCGACCTCCGAAAGGCCCTGGGCCGCTCTGTCTTTGGCCGCTCTGGCCAGGGCGCCCAGGCCGGCCACTACACGCTGCAGGTGGACCGGTACACCTGGGCCACCTCGCCCATCCGCAGGTACCTGGACGTGGTGCTGCAGCGGCAGATCCTGCTGGCGCTGGGCCACGGGGGCGCCGCGTACTCGGCGAGGGACGTGGACCGGCTCTGCCTGGACTTTGGCCAGCAGCATGCGCAGGCGCAGGGCTACCAGCGGCGGGCCCGCGGTCTGCACCTGGCCGTGCAGCTCAAGGCCCAGCCTCGCCACAAGCTGGGCTTCGCGGTGGACGTGGAGGGCGGCAGCCGCTGCTTCACGCTGCTCTTCCCCACCCTCCGGGAGACGCTGCCCGACCCCTGCCCCGTGCACTACCGCTCCCTGCAGCTGGTCGAGCCGCCCCGGGACCTGGGGGGCCAGCAGGGCCTGCGGCTGCAATGGCGGCGCCGCGTCTACTCCGTGCAGGGCTCCGACGCGTCCTCCCCCAAGCCCGGCGCCCTGCGCAGCCCACACACCCAGACCGTCAGCGCGGCCTTGTGGGAGCGGCTGCTGGCGCTGGTGGAGGCGCAGTGCTGGCCCGAGGCGGCCGCCCTGGTCGGGGAGCAGGAGGGGGAGCAGGCCCCGGGGCGGGAGCTGGTGCAGGTGCGGCGCAGCCGCTGCGGCCACTTCCTGGAGGTGGCCCAGGAGCTGGGCAGCGGGCACACGCTGCAGGTGCAGCTCGGCGCCAGCCTGCAGCGCGGCTTCCTGCTGCCCACGCTGCAGCTGTGGGAGGTGGCGCCCGGCCTCAGCCTCTGCCTGGAGCACGTGGAGCGGCCCGCGGACTGCTTCTTGGGCCACCCACACCAGGCGCCCCGGGACCGGTACCGAGACGCGGACGCGTACGCCCGCGTGTGGGAGCCGTTCTGCGCCCTGGAGTCCGTCACCAACGCGGTGGCCGAGAACAGCTCCATCACGCTGCAGCACCTGCGGGTGTCCTGGGACGCAGAGCGGACGCCGCAGGGGCAGCTGCAGGGCACCTTCTGCCTGGAGACCTCCTTCCTCTCCGACAACAGCATCGACGTGGACCTCGGCTACTGCTACCTCTGCATCCGGCTGGAGGGGCTGTGCGCGCCCCCCGGGCCCCCGGCCCCGGGGCCCAGCGGCCTCGGCCCCCTCCTGAGCGTGGACCCCAGCACGTACACGTGGGTGGCCCACGGGCTGACCGAGAGCGGGGACCAGGAGGGCTGGGCGGACAGGGAGGAGGCGCCCAGGCAGGTGCACTTCTTCATCCGCCACATGGCCATGGAGGAGGTTCCGGAAGACGTGCTGAGGCCGGGCACCCTGTTCACCGTCGAGGTGCTGCCCAAGCTGCTTCCTGACCTGTGAGTGGCGGGGCGGGGCGGGCTCCCCGGCTCCCTGGGCCCCTCCCTGGGAGCGCCCATTTCCAGCGTCTGCCTCCTCCCAGCCGCAAGGAAGAAGCCCTTCGCAGACTGGCCATGGCGTCCCCGCTGGTCACCAGCATTGCGTTGGGGCGGCCTGTCCCGCAGCCCGACACCTGCGCTGGCCAGCATCCCTCCCCAGAGGTAGGCCTGCCACCCCCACCTCCCGTCCCGCCCTGCCACCCTGCTCAGGGCGCTTGTCCCCACGGCCACCCCTCAGCGGCCACCAGCAGGTTCCTGGCGCGACAGGACCTTCAACATCCCGGAGGCCCCACAAGTTGAACCCCAGCCAGAATGCGGCCATCAGGGAGCCCTCGAGGAACGCTTTGCGCTCATCAGGGTCCGCCACGGGTGGCGGGCGGATGTGGGGCAGTGTGGGGCGCTGTTGGCGCGACCTCGAGGTTGGCGCTAGTCGGGAAGGCTGCTGCTCAGAGTCTCTGTCCAGGTACGGGAAGACGGTCGTGGGTCTCCACATCACTACTGTTCCACAATCAACCAGGAGGCCAGGACAGCCCAGCAGTAGCCCCGGCGGGGGAGGAGCGCCGGGTGGGGCCTGCATCCTGACTCGTGGCCCCTCCAACAAGTCGTGTGGATGTCGCTGGCAGGTGTGCGGGTGGGGTGGTGGGGCGCCTCTGGTGCCGGCATGGTCTGGGCGCTCACACCCCCCCACTCCCGCAGGATGCTCCTGAGGCAAGGCGGAGCTAAGCCCTCCGCGTGTACGGCGAAGCAGGTTGGAGGTCACAGGACTTCCCGGTTGCCGGCTGGGCAGGCGACCCTGTCAGGAAGGCCCTGGGAGGGGCCGAACCCGGCCCTCAGTGCCGCCTTCGCCGGTGTCGCCCTGGCCGGGGGGCGCTCTCTCTGTTCTGCTGCCCTGCCGTTGGGCTCTTCGTGGTCCTCTTCACCGGAACCCTCTGCCTCTTGTCTATGTATGTCATTTCACCCTGCACCACCGGATCCGCAAGGCCCCAACCCACGACGCGGCTGCAATCAGGGCCTTTGATGCGCGCTGGCAGAAGGGGGAGGTCTTCTCCAGGGAGGACCTGGACTCGTGAGTGGCGGGGCGGGGCGGGGGGGGGAGCTGCCTGCCGCGTGGGGCGTCGGGCTGACACAGGCAGGCCGTGTTCCCGTCGCAGGTACAAGAGGGTCTTGAGGAAGGCACGCAAGTTCGAGCTGGACCAGCACCAGGTCATTCTCTGCACGTGCTCCTGTGCGGCGGCCCCCGGCCTCAGGAACCTGGACGTCCGGCAGATCCTGGTTGACGAGGCAGCCATGGCCACCGAGCCGGAGACCCTTATTCCGCTGGTGCACTTCCCGCAGGCCCAGAAGGTGCGGGTCGGCGCCGTCCTGGGGCAGCTCCTGGGCCAGGGTGCCGCAGTGCAGGACTGAGTGGTGATGGCTGCTGTCCCCCAGGTGGTTCTTCTTGGGGACCACAAGCAGCTGCGGCCCGTGGTCAGGAACGAGCGGCTGCAGAACTTGGGGCTGGACCGGTCCCTCTTCGAGCGCTACCACAGGGACGCCTACATGCTGGACACGCAGTACCGCATGGTGAGGCCCGGCCCACACAGCGCCACACCTGGCCTGCCGGCGGGCCCCTCACCGGCTCATCCTTGCCCCACAGCACGATGGCATCTGTGCTTTCCCCTCTGCGGAGTTCTACCAGGGGAAACTGAAGACCTGCCAGGGCCTGAGGCGGCCACCCAGTGTCCTGGGCCACGCTGGCAAGGAGAGCTGCCCTGTCATCTTCGGCCACGTGCAGGGCCGGGAGCAGAGCCTGCTGGTGTCCACAGACGAAGGGAACGAGAACTCCAAGGCCAACATGGAGGAGGTGGCAGTGGTAGTGAGTGTCAACAAGGCCTCCCTAGAGCCCTGTGGGTGGGGGGGGCGCCCTTCCTGGAAGGAGGCGAGGGGCCAGGGAGGGGCTTCCTGGGGGGGGCCAGGGAGGGCTTCCTGGAGGAGGGGGCCAGGGAGGAGCTTCCTGGAGGAGGGAGCAGGGGGGGCCAAGGCAGGGGCTTCCTAGAGGAGGGGGCAGAAGAGGGGCCAGGGAGGGCTTCCTAGAGAGGGGACAGAGGGGAGGCAAAACCAGGAGGGCTTTCCTAAAGAGGAGGGGGCAGAAGAGGGGCCAGGGAGGGGGCTTCCTAGAGGAGGGGACAGAGGGGAGGGGCCAGGGAGGGGCTTCCTAGAGGAGGGGGCAGAAGAGGGGCCAGGGAGGGGCTTCCTAGAGGAGGGGACAGAGGGGAGGGGCCAGGGAGGGGCTTCCTAGAGGAGGGGGCAGAAGAGGGGCCAGCGGAGCGCCCCCGGGGGGCTTCCTAGAGGCCAGGGGGCATGAGTGGGACGGGCCCAGGGAGGGCGCATTCCTCAGAGGAGGGGCACAGCACAGAGGGGCCCCAGCGCGAGCCGGGCCTTCCCTCACGCAGGACCGGGCGGCCCACAGAAGCAGGCGCCCTCCCCATCGCTGTCGGCGAGGCTCTCTCAGCCAGGAGGGGGGCAGAAGAGCGCCCCAGGCACGCGCCGGGCCCTCCCCTAGAAGAGGGGGCGCTAGACAGACGCGGCGGTCACCAGGAGCGGCCTCCCCCTAGAGGCCAGGGGCAGAAGCAGGGGCCAGGGCGAGCCGGCGCTTCCTAGAGGGATAGGCGGCCCAGAAGAGGGGCGCAGGGAGCGGGGCTCCCCTAGAGCAGGGCGCAGGCCACCAGAGGGCAGGGAGGTGCTTCCTAGAGGAGGGGACAGAGGGGAGGGGCCAGCCGCAGCCGCAGGCTCTCCTGAGAAGAGGGGGCAGAAGACGGGGCCAGGGAGGGCTTCCACGAGGAGGGACACCCCGAGGGGAGGGGCCAGGGACGGGCTCCCTAGGAGGCCAGGGGCACCAGGGGAGGGCCAGGGAGGGGGCTCCCTAGAGGAGGGGGCAGAAGAGGGGCCAGGGAGGGGGCTCCCCATAGAGGAGGGGCAGAAGCAGGCCAGGGACGGGCTCCCTAGAGGACGGCGGGCAGAAGGGCGGGAGGGCTTCCTAGAGGACGGGACAGAGCGGCGGCGGGCCAGGAGGGGCTTCCTAGAGAGCGGCGCAAAGAGCCGGGCCAGCCGGCACGCGGCTTCCTAGAGGAGGGGCAAACCGCACAGCGCCTCGGAGGGCAAGCCCGGGCTCTCCTAACGAGGCAAGGGACACCCGAGGGAGCGGCCCAGGGGGCCGGCTTCCTCGCACACAGAGCCGCGGGCCCACAGAAGAGCGGGCCAGGAGGGGCTTCCTACCGCCAGGTAGGGGACACCGAGGGCGGGCCAGGGACGGGCTTCCCTACAGGAGGGGCCCGAAGCAGGCCGCCCCAGCGGACGGGGCTCTCCTAGAGCAGCGGGCCACGAGCGGCGAGGGGCCCAGGGAGGGGCTTCCCTGCGAAGGAGGGCAGAAGGGAACGGCAGGGAAGCGGGGCCTCCCTGGAGGAGGGGCAGAAGAGGGGCCAGGGAGGGGCTTCCTAGAGGAAGCGGGGCAGAAGAGGGCAGGAGGGGGGCTCCTGGAAGAGGGGCAGAAGGGAGGGCCAGGGAGGGGCTCCCTGAGGAGGGGGGCATAGCGAGAGCAGGAGGGAACAGGTGAAGGGCCCCCGTGCCCGCAGGCAGCACGGGGCACCCCAGGCTCGTCTTCGCCTGTCCCCCAGGTCCTCCATTGCCAAGCAGCTGACCCTGGGGAGGACGGTGGAGCCCAAGGACGTTGCCTCCCTGACCCCCTACAACGCGCCAGCGCCGCGGAGATCCGCAAGGGCCTCCTGCGGGAGGGTGTGTGCCGGCATGACGGTGTCCTCCATCACAGAGCCAGGGTGAGGCTGGCGTGGGGCGGGGCGCGCCGGTGGGGGCAGCGGCCGCAGGGCCTCACTCTCCCCCCTGCCCGGCAGGGAGCGAGTGGCGCTACGTGCTGGTGAGCACGGTCCGCACCTGCGGCAGGAGCGACCTGGACCAGCAGCCCACCAAGGCCTGGCTCCGGAAGTTCCTGGGGTTTGTCGTGGACCCCAACCAAGTGAACGTGGCCATCACCCGGGCCCAGGAGGGGCTCTGCCTGATCGGTGAGGCTGGGGCTGGCTCCTCCGGGGGGGGGGGGGCCGGGCTGGGGGTGGGCACGGCAGCCTCCTCTGACCTCCCCGCAGGTGACCATCTCCTCCTGCGCTGCTGCCCGCTCTGGCAGCGCCTCCTGGACTTCTGCGAGGCCCGGCAGAGCCTGGTGCCGGCCAGACAGGTGCGGGTCCGCAGGAGGCCGGCGCTGTCTTCCTGAGGAGCAGCCCCGTGCCCTGGGGAGCCGGGACTCGGAGGGGAGTCCCAGCAACGCTGCTGCCGGCCTGGGGGTCCACCCGGCAGATGCCGCGTGCCTTGGTGGCCACTGCCCGGGCCCACCTGCCTGTGCCACGCAGCGAGGAGGACCACGGCACAGTCGTGGCCTCTGCCGGGCAGGGAGCAGGCCGGGCGTGGTCTGTCTGTAGGGCGTGAACTTGGGAGGAAGGGGAAGGGCTTCGAGGGTCCATCCCCTCCCAGCTGTGCTGCTATTCTGGGGACATTTGGGGACAGGGAAGCTCCTCAGGGCTGAGAGCAGCCTCGTCGGGACCGGCATGAGGAGGTTCTGCTGTCACCAGGATGTTTTTTGGGCCAAGAAAGAAACTGCACTTTGGTCTATGGACGCCGCCGTAGACGGAGTTGGGCTTGAGTTTCTATTTTGAAATAAACCAAAGCCAGTGTCCTCCGGGGCACAGGGACCTGGCCCTGACCCAGGGCAGGGCGGCCTGTCTGATGCTGGGCCCCGGCCCTGCGTCCTTTGGGGGCCACCGCTCAGAGGGCAGAGGGCAGACCGGGACCAGGTGCCCCCTGGCCCTGCGGCCGCACAGTGGGCGGCAGTGCTGGCGGGTGGAGTGGCAGCCGCTCGGGTGTGTCTGTCTCGGGCAGGCGCGAGGACTCCTGCCACCCCCAGACTCCCACCTGGAGATCGGCTCCAACTCTGCACCAGGCCGATCCCCAGTGCAATTCCGGGTTCCTGCGGCCTGTGCCTGGGGGCCTCTGCCGGTGACCTCGCTGCGGCCCCGGGGGACGCTTTCCTGGAGTTTTCCACAAACTCAGTCTCTACATTCCAGTGTTTGTGTCTCAGACTCTGAATTATGTGATTGCATATTGATTTCATTATAAACAGCACCCTGAAAGCTCTTCTCACTTCTGGGTGTTTTGAGGTCTGGCTAGGGAGGGGCCCGTCCTGCCTGGGGAGTGGCCGTGGGTACTGGACTCCAGAGCACGTGGGGGCGGCCCCTGTGTCGTGGCCGATGGCTCGGGCTGTGGAGGCTGAGGGGTCTGCTGGGAGCTTGGGGACAGTGCCGGGTGCTGGGCCAGCCCAGCGCGCTCTGTCCCAGGCACCACACACCCTCCGGCCGACTTGGGACTGGGACTCTGTCAGCGTTTGGCTGGTTGGTGGCCGGGTCCCCAGCGGCCCCCAGGCCTGCCTGCCGCCGGAGTTGCAGAGGGGACCCGGCCTGTGAGCCTCCGAGGCCCAGCTGTGGAGGGGCTGCAGCGTCACCGTGGAGAAGAGGGGTCCCCACGAGCCTCCGTGTCTCGGGCATTTGTGGAGGGAGGGGCGACGTCTGCTGCCTTGAAGTGCGCTTTGAGTGCGAGGGCTGTTCCAGAAATCACGAAGGGCCCTCCAGGCGAGGGGCGAGGGGGGTTCCGGGAGGAAGGGCATTAGCAGGGTCTGGACCAGCGGAGGTAGGGTAGTGGGGGGCGGTGGTCGGAGCATGGAGTGGCGGCAGCCCCCACCCAGGTGGCCCCTCTCCGTGAGGTCGGTGCCATTTTGGAGGAGCACGGGGATTCTTCCCCAGACCCCGGGGGTGGCCCTGTCCTGGGGACATCCAGGAACGACTGTCACAGCCACACACCCACATACCATGTTTCCCCGAAAATAAGACAGGGTCTTATGTTTATTTTTCCTCAGGAAGACACCCTAGGGCTTATTTTCAGGGGATGTGTTATTTTTTTTTAAGTACGGTACAACAATCTACATTGATTCAAATAGAGGGAAGTTGTCTTCTTCTGGAATATCATCATAACTCTCCGAACCCCGAATGCCATCCTGAATTTCTTGCGACTCTGTTTCCTTTAGAACCGTTGGCCCCAATCTCTCATGTCATGCAATAGACCTCTCCTGGGGCAGATGAGAAGGGCTGCTCGTCTTCTTTACCAACGACACGCACGGGCTGTGCAGATGCGCTGCGTAGCCACGCCCATCACTAGGCCTTATTTTCGGGGTGGGGCTTCTATTGTGCAAATGCTTAGAAACCCTGCTAGGGCTTATTTTATGGGTAGGTCTTATTTTCAGGGAAACACAGTGGCTGGGGGAGCCGGGCCTTTCTCACCAAGCACCCCACTGTGACAGGGGTTCCCTGTCCCTGCCTGCCCTGCGCCCGCCAGACCAGGTCATCCCAGAGCAGGTCCCAGTGACCGCCGTGGCGAGTGTAGTGATGGACGGAAGCTGCTGTCGTGTGCTGGGTGCAAGGTGCCACCCCTCTGGACCTGGGCGTGGCGGAGCCCTGTGTCCACACCATCAAGCCGATAGCATCTCGGGGAGCGAGCTGTTGGCCCGGCTGGGGTCACATGATCAGGCTGGAGGCTCCCCAGGCGACAGTGGGGCTGGGGGTCGGGAGCTGGAGGGATGGTCACCCAAAAAGCAGCCTCAGCACCGGCCAGTAGGACCACCTCAAGATGGGGATGCCCCTGAACTTCAGCTTTTCTTGGGGAGAAGATAAGACTGTTATCCTTTATTTTATTTTTTATTTTATTTATTTATTTTTTTTGAGTCAGAGTCTCTCTTTGTCGCCCAGGCTAGAGTGAGTGCCGTGGCATCAACCTAGCTCACAGCACCTCATACTCCTGGGCTCAAGCAATCCTCCTGCCTCAGCCTCCCAAGTAGCTGGGACTACAGGCATGCACCACCATGCCCAGCTAATTTTTTCTATATGTATTAGTTGGCCAATTAATTTCTTTCTATTTATAGTAGAGGCAGGGTCTCACTCTTGCTCAGGCTGGTTTCGAACTCCTGACCTCGAGCGATCCGCCGGCCTCGGCCTCCCAGAGTGCTAGGATTCCAGGTGTGAGCCACCGCACCCGGCCTATCCTTTATTTTAAAATATTCTCTTGCTGAGGCCTTGGGCTTAGGCGTCCTGGCTCCAAGGAAGCTGGGGGTGCTACACCAGGGCTCGATTGTCCCCGGACAGGACCTAGGAGTGCCAGTCCCCCAGGAAGCCCCCCGCCCAGGAAGTGGGTCAAGACAGCCAGAGTCGGGCTATGGTGAGGGTGGACATGGGGGGACCAGGCTGAGCCCCGCAGGGCAGGTCTCACCACGGGAGCTAGCGTTCCTTGCCCCGGGGTCGGCTGGGGGGGGGCGTCTGGCCTGGTCTGCCCCCCCAGGACGCAGGCACTAACTAAAGGGGCGGGGACAGGAAGAACACACGGCCCGCTGCTGCCTGTAAAACGTTAAGTAGGTTGTTCCTCTTTATTAGTGGATAAATACTAGAAAATCATCTCTCGGAAGGTGCGGTCAGGGGCGGGCCGGGCTTGCCCAGCCAACGGGGGGCGGGCCCCTCGGGGGGCCCCGGCTTGGTCTGCAGGGTGAGGCTGTCCCGCCAGGGCTCGTACACCAGCGTGTAGCTCTCCGCCCTCTTGATGGTGAACTTGTAGGAGCGGCTGGGCAGCAGGTTCCGGATGTCGAAGGTGCAGGCGGCCACCGGGATGATGCCGCGCTGCGCGCACTCCTGCTGCGTCCGTGGGTCCAGCAGCTTGAAGCGCAGCTCGAAGGGCTCCGGTGCCGGCGGCTGGATGGTGACGAACCAGCGCAGGCTGACCCAGTCCTGGTGGGCCACCGACTCCTTCCGGTCAAACATGACCGGCATCTTTGTGCTCAGCATGAGCCGGATGTGCGGGATCTTGGTGGCGCCCACGTCGGACACGAGGCGGTGCTTGATGTGGAGGCGTCCCGGCACCATCATGGCCAGGAAGTTGTCCATGACCGCCGACAGGTCTGCCAGCCGCTGCTCCACGCGCCCCCAGCCCGCCAGGAAGGGCCGCGGGTCCGGCGACTCCAGCAGGGTGTCCAGCTCGGCGCGGCCGCGGTCCAGCTGCTCCAGCAGGTCCCCGAGCAGCAGGAGCTGGATCTTGGTCTGCGCCGTGCCCACCTTCTTCATGCGCTGGAACTTCCAGGGGTCGATGAGCTGGAACATGGTGTTGGGCAGCACCAGCGGGTTCTGGTCGCCCAGGGCCAGGTGCTTGGGGAGCACCTCAATGTAGTAGGAGCACTTCCGGAGCAGCTGCACGCGGGCGTGGTGGCGCTTGAGCAGGTGGGGGCTCAGGTCCGTGGTCAGGAACTCCTGCAGCGCAGTGCGCCGGCCCATGTAGGTCCTCCAAGCCTCCGGCTCCAGCAGCTGCTGGTCCTCGGCCTCCTCGGCCTCCTCCTGGTCCAGGAAGGGCTGGCAACCGCCCAGCTTCATCTCGTCCAGGCCCGAGCCTGTCGCCTGGAAGCTCATGGTCTGGGAGCTGGGGGTGGGGGGCCAGCCATGAGCCACCGCAGCCGGGCTGGCCTCTGCCACCCTCCCAGGGACGCGCCTGGGACAGGGTCCAGCGGGTGGGGGAAGCGTCAGGCCCCCACACTGGGCCTTCTGTCCTTCCCTCGGGGGCCTGTGTCGCGGGGAAGAGGCTGCCCAGAGGGCCGGCTGTGGTTTGGACAGAAGTGTGTGTTAAGGGCCAAGGAGCCTCTTCCAGGGGCCAGTGGCCATTTGCAGCAAAGAGACAGGGTGGGCTAGGACAGTGGCCCTGGGGACAGCACAGCCGGGGCAGAAGCCCCAGCCACTGACCAGCATGTGGCCTGGCCAGGGCCTCAGTGCCTGGTCTGAAATGGGGTGCTGATGCCCCTGAGGGCTGTGAAGAGGATTCAGTGTGACCCCAAGTGGCTGTGACAACCGGGACTCTCTGGGGGATGCCATGGCCCAGCACTGGGGGCTGCCGCACCCCGAGGGTGGCTGGAAGCAGGGACAGTGGCCAGGGATGCTGGAGGTTGGTTGGGTCAATTGCAAGTGAGAACTGCCAGGTAAGTAGGCGGTGAAGCTGGGACTCAAGTCTGCCCCACTGCCCAAAGGCTGACCCTTGACCTTCTTGGGGCGGGGCCAGCACAGAGGGCATCTCGGGTGAGGAGCGAGCTGAGACCAGGCCCTGGGAGCCTCGCCCAAGTCCTGCCCTGCTGGAGGCTGGGGCGGGCTTCACCAGGGCGACCCGGCCTCTGCTGCTGCTCTGGGACTGTCCAGTGGCCGCCAGCCGCCCTCTTGGAAAACCGCAGAGGGGCTGGTTGTGACCCAGGGGAAGGTGGCTCTGAGCCCCCACTGTGGCCCCGAGACGCCCTCTCCACCATGCTTCCCTCGCCCGGAGCCCCTAGCCCTCCTCCCCAAGTCCCGGGGGCGCCCCATGCCCGCGCCCCGCCGGCCCCCCACTCCCACTTGCCCTGACTCCTGGAGCGGACAGAGCCGAGGCCACTGCCCGGTGCCACCAGGCGAACGCTTCGAAGTCCAAAGGGTTGCCATGGCGACCGGGAGCCACTGTGACGGCCCCGAGGGTAGGGGCGGGGACAAGGCGGAAGGGTAAGAGGCGACCCCGCCCCCCGTCGCGCCTGCGCCCCGCCCCCCCAGGGGCCGCGGAAGCCCGGGGTCCCCTGCGCCACTGCGGCGGGGCGCACACGCGCGCTTTGCCCGGGACCCGCCGCGGGATCCGCGGCCCCCAGCCCCGCCCCGCCCGCCGCACCAGGAACCGTCGGGCGGCGGGACCCGCGCCCCACTTGGGGCCACCGTGGGCCGCCGCGCCGGCCCCCGTGCCAGGCTGGAAGTGGGTTCCGCGAAAGCCGGGGCGGAGACCGCCGGCCGTCCTGCGGGCACGGCGCTCCCCGCCCGGGCCTTTCCGGCTGGGTACCCGGAACGGGGCTCCTGCTCGACGCCCCAACCCGAGCCCGCCCTCGGGAACCCCTGGAGGAATTCGGGAGAGGAAGAGGCCGAGACCTGGGGAGGGGGGTGTGGAGGGGCGGGGAGGCCCCACCTGGGCCCCAGCCGGGTCTGGAGGGACCGGGCCTCCACAGCTCCTGGGAGCCCCCGAGCGTCCTGAGGCCCCCGAGGCCGTCCGCGCCCCCAGCTGGACTCGGCACCGCTGGGGCGCCACGCGCCCCGACCCGCGGCCTCCACCCGCGGCCTCCGCGGAGGAGGACTGGGGCCGGGCAGCCTCCTGCTCCCCCGGCTCCACCCGAGTTAGGCTGTATTTTTGATGCACCAGCAGCTGTAAGAAGTAACTCAGGTCCTGTGTATGCTTTACTCAGTTTCCGCCAACGGTGATGTCACCAAATGGCACCAGGACGCCGACACTGGCTGGCAGTTCCCCGACAGCCGCTCATCTCTCCATTGCTATGACTGCCGTTTCCAGAATGTTCCGTACGTGGGGCCGGGCAGCACGCTTACGCTTGCAGCCACTAGGGGTCGGCAGTGAGCACCAGGGTCTGCTGCCCGGGGTACAGAGCTTCCCTGGCAGAGGGGGAGTCAGTGAGGTCAGGCCCTGGGGGAGGGGGTGCCGTGACCTCCAGACACCTGACCCGGGGAGGGGGCAGCGCAGCAGATGCAGACGCAGCAGAACTCCAGCTGCAGAGCCAGGAAGGCCCGTTCACTCCGGTCCCTGTCCTCACTGGGCTCCGTGCGCCCACAGGGAAGGGCCGAGGCATAGGGGGGTTCAGCCCCGTCCCCAAAGGCACATGGCCGGTGGGTCCGAGAGCCGGATTCTAGCTCCGGTCTTCTGACCTGTCCAGGGCAGTCCTGCACCCACTGCCCTCTTCTCACTCCCCTCTGTCCCCTACCCGGTTAGGAGGTGAGCTCATGGGGCTGTCCACAGGTTCCCTGTGCCGCCGCAGGTGGAGGTGGTGGGGAAGGCCAGGGAAGGGGTGTGCGCCACTCTCAGGGGTGCCGAGAACCACCAAGGAGGAGGGGAAACCAGCTCTGGCACAGAGCAAGGGGCAGCAGGTGCTTGGAGGAGAAAGATGGGGCTGGCTGGCTGAAGAGCGCTGATTTGGGGGTTGCCAGGTGGAGGGGCGGAGACACGCCAGGAGAGAGGCCCAGTGGGGACTGAGGGAGATGTGGGTGCAGCCGGGACTGAGGAGGGCCACCGGTACAGGCTGGGAGGGGTGCAGGGTGGGGTGGGATGCATGGTTAGGTGGGTGCAGAATGGGGTGGGGAACAGGGTCAGAGTAGGATGCAGGGTGGGGTGGTGTGCAGGGTCAGAGTGGGGTGAAGGGTCAGGGTGAATTGGGGTGCATGGTTAGATGGTGTAGAATGGGGTGGGGACCAGGGTCAGAGTGGGGTGCAGGGTGGGGTGGTGTGCAGGGTGGGGTAGGATGCAGGATCAGAGTGGGGTGCAGGTGGGATGGGGTGCAGGGTCAGAGTGGGGTGCAGGGTGGGGTGGGGTGCAGGGTCAAAATGGGGTGCAGGGTGGGTGGGGTGCAGGGTCAGAGTGGGGTGCAGGGTGGGGTGGCATGCAGGGTCAGAGTGGGGTACAGGGTTGAGGTGGGGTGGATGCAGGGTCAGAGTGGGCTAAAGGGGCAGGGTGGGGTGCAGGGTGGGGTGGGGTGCATGGTTAGTGGTGCCGAATGGGGTGCATGCCAGGGTCCAGAGTGGGGTGCAGGGTGGGGTGGGGTCAGGGTCGAGTTGGGGTGCAGGGTCAGATGGGGTGCAGGGTGGGGTGCGTGGGGTCAGATGGGTAACATGGTTAGGTGGGGTGGATCGGTCTAAGTGGGCTAAAGGGGCAAGGGGGCGGTGGGGTGCATGGTTAGGTGGTGCAGAATGGGGTGGCATGCAAGGGTCAGAGTGGGTGTGGGGTGGGGTGCAGGGTTAAGGAGGTGGGGTGAGTGCAGGGTCAGAGTGAGGTGGAAGGGGTCGGGTGGGTTGCAGGGTGGGGATGGGGTGTCAGGGTCAGAGTGGGGTCAGGGTGGGGTGGCGTGCAGGTTGAGTGGGGGTGGGTGCAGGGTCAGAGTGAGGTGAAGGGTCGGGTGGGTTGCAGGGTGGGATGGGGTGCAGGGTCAGAGTGGGGTGCAGGGTGGGGTGGCGTGCAGGGTTGAGGTGGGGTGGGTGCAGGGTCAGAGTGAGGTGAAGGGTCGGGTGGGGTGCAGGGTGGGATGGGGTGCAGGGTCAGAGTGGGGTGCAGGGTGGGGTGGCATGCAGGGTTGAGGTGGTGTGGGTGCAGGGTCAGAGTGGGGTGAAGGGTCAGGGTGGGGTGCAGGGTCAGGCGGCAGCCTATGGAGTGCTCCCTACAAAGCTTTGTCCACTGGGCAGTCCTCTCTTTTTTTTCTTTCTTGGGAAAATAAACTTTGACCTGTGTATATGCTGCACTTTGAGGATTCTGTCTCCCCCTGCTGCTGACTTCCCGCCCAACAGGCACAAGCTCCAGGCCCTTCCGGGAAGCCCAGGCAGCACCTGTGGGTGCGGCTGTCTGAGCCCCGCCCGGCAGGGGTCTCCCTGGCACAGAGCCTGGCGCGGTGGGCCACTCGCCTGCCGCCCCGCTGTGCCCGCCAGGAGGCAGCCCCCTCCCACAGGGCCGCGAGGACAGTGCGTCCGCGTCACTCACGCCGGACTCACACCCCGTCCCCCAGATGTGCGGGTTCAGAGACGTCCCCCCGAAGCTCCGGGCCGGCAGTTCCAGCCACAGGACTGGGGCGCTGATCGGGGTGGGACGGGGGCTCTGCTGCAGGCACGAGGGGCATGAGGCGCCATGACGACCACCAGGTGGTGAAGGGCTGGCTGGGGAGGCCGGCGAGGGGAGGGAGACCTGTGGCCGGGACCCTCTCCAACCCCCCACCCGTCCCAGGCCCGCCCCCCCCAGACCTGGGCCGGCTGGGATCCCTAACCCTGCCCCAATTCCGGAGGGGGTCGTAGGCCCCGGAGGGGACTCGCCACGGTCCCTTCCTGGCACGCTGGCTTCCGGGTTCATTCACATCCTGAGCTGGGGGACCAGATGTCCTGGCCGCAGTGGCCTTTGGGTGTCTCCTGGCCATCGGGTGGCCCAGAAGCCACATGACGCGTCATCATCTGAGCCCAGGCTCTGTGTGCCTGGCCCACCCTGCACCTCCCGCAGCCCAACCCCCCATTTCACTGGGGTGCTGGAAGCGCCTCCCCTGCTGTGCTTTGAGCCCCGGCTCCCGGCACTGGGGCCTCCGCCTTGCTCAGGGGACTCAGGATGTCATTAACAAAAGATTTGGCCACCGTGGAAATAACCAGGCAGGTTTTCACGCAAGTCCAGCGTCCCGTGGGCTGCCTGGCAACCGCGGCTGGTGCTGAGCAGCGGATACCCCCACCCAGCCCCACTTCTCTGGGGGTGGCTGCCGGGCTAGTGGTGCCCTTGTGTTCCCCACTGTCCCCAGGTGGCCACCCTTGTGCCCCAGCAGAGCAGGGCCACCCCTGTGGGCCGGGCGGAGGGAGGAAGAGGGCTGCCAGTTCCCGGCCAGCCCTGGACAGCCCCGCCCCACTCGTCTGCACCCCCGCCGGAAGCAGCTGGGAGCCTCCGAGTGACTGCGGGGCGGTGTCACCTGTCACCCCACCTGCACGTGTGGGCAGGGACGCGGTGCAGGGAGCTCAGTGACCACACCCGGCCCGGCCATCCCACCGGCCCTTCCAGTTTCTCCCCGGAGTCCCAGCCGCTCCCAGGGCTGCTGCACTCAGCCTCTGCCCCGGCGGGGCCTGCAGCCCGAGGTGGTGACCGGGCCGGCAGGTGCGCCCGACGGTCGGTCAGCCCAGGACGCCTGCGGGGCATGGAGCCCTTCCTCAGGAAGCGGCTGGCCTTCCTGTCCTTCTTCTGGGACAAGGTCTGGCCGGTTGGTGAGCCGGACAGCAGCATCCCTGGGCCTCTGGATCCCGCTGCAGACGCAGAGCCGGAGCCCCCCGCCCCCGCGGAGCCCTGCAGCCCCCAGGCGCCCGGCGTGCAGCTCTACCGCGTGCTGCAGGACTTCACGGCCCGGAGCGTGGAGGAGCTGAGTGTCAGCTGCGGGGAGCGGCTCCACGCCCTCAGGGAGGAGGGGCCCTACATCCTGGCCCGCAGGCTCTCAGGTGGGCTCAGCACCGGGCTGGTGCCCCTCACCTGCGTCGCCAAGGTGGCCCCGGAGACACTCACCGACCAGCCGTGAGTACCTCGGCCTCAGAGCCCCGCGCCTGCCCTCTGCAGTCCAGTGTCAGGCCACGGCATTGCCAGGGCTCCTCCGGCCTCCCGAGGGCCCGGGGCACGCACCCATTCTCCTGGGGGGCGGCCCGTGGTGGGCGGGGCCGGGCTCCAGCCCTTGCCCCATGCCTGCCCGGCTTGCTCTGAGCCGCGGGCAGGGCTGAGCAGCCGTGCTGGGGTGAGGGTGCACAGTCACCCCGGTGTGCAGCTCCCGGGGGCCAGGCCGGGCAGGGCCGGGAGCTAATGACCGTCTGGCAGGGGATGAAACGGCTGAGCACACGCACGGTGTCATTAGCCTGCTGCCCGCCCACGCCCCAGGGAGAGGCCCGAGGCACATCCCCTATAGCTCAGCGGGTGTGCAGCGCCCAGCCCACACCCCGCAGGCCCTGCTGTGCGGGGAGGGGACCCTGGAGCCCCTTCCCAGGTGAGCAGGTGTCACTTCCTCACGGCAGACCCGGAAGGCAGGGGCCCGGGCTGCAGGGGGCACTCAGTGGACACAGTGTGGCAGCCTCGTGGCTGCACCTCCTGCCCAAATCTGAGTGTCCCCTGAGCCTGCTGCCCCACAGGTCTCGCCTCGGGAGACCATGTCCCCTGGTGACCCCGTCCAGGCCTGGCCATGCCCTGGGCGCTGCCCCACGTCCAGCCGCTGCAGCCCCTGCTCCCCGGCCTGGGCCTCTCACGTGCCATGGGCTCCCCTCTCCCGAAGTACAGCTGGCCTGCGGTCTCCGGTCCCCTCCTGCCAGGCCCTGTTCCAGCGCCCCGGCCCCCACTCAGGCGGCACAGCGTCCCCCACCCATCCCCGCCGCCTGTGTGCGGATTCACCCAGTCTGGCCTCGGCTCCCGGGCGCCCTCCTGGTCCTGCTCCCGCGAGGCCCCAGGCCTGTGCCCACGCCCGGCTCCTTGTGCCCCCATCGCCTGGACGAGGTGGCAGGCCTCACCCTCTGGGTCCAGGGAAGGTCCCGGAAGTGGGAGGCCCTGGGGGATGCCGAGTCGGGTGTGGAGCCCCGGCCTGGGCCTTGGGAAGCAGCCCGTGTGCTGCTGGGCCGGGAGCTTTGCGGGCTCCTGCCAGGGACGTCTCTGCAGCCCGGGAAGGAGCGGGGCTGGGAGTCGCCGTGGCCCCTGTCGGGCGTGGGCTCCTGGTGTCCCGGAGCCCGAGGCCTGGAGCTCCCTGGCTCTCGTGCACCCGGCATCCTAGAGGCGGCGTCTGAGCAGACAGAGGGGACAGAGGGGACAGAGGGCTGGGGCTTGGGCTGGCTGCGCCGGGCACGGCTCTTCAGAGGGGACACAAGGTGCTTTCGACCTCTCCCCAGACCCCCAGTCTCCCCCAGCCAAGCTCAGGCCTCTGGAACCTTCCAGCTGAGCCCCGCTGTGGTCACCCCCACCGCCACTCGCCTGAGGCTGGTGGGCCGTGCCAAGCCTGGGGGTGCCTGTGGTCCTCTGTGGCCACCGCAGCCTGGGGAGCCCTGGGGACTCGGCCACGGCTCGGGTCTGGCAGGCCGGCTGCGGCCGGGGCAGGCGGCACCTTTCTAAGCAGGAAACGGGGTCACTCACGGCAGGCTAACTGGCGAGCCTGTGGCCTAGGTGACAAACTGTCACCTGCCAGAGCAGCGCCCAGCCCACCTGATGGTGGCTGAGTCAGCTCGGCTGCCCCCAGCCCAGCCCCGGCACCTTCTCCCCGAGAGGTGGGGCCGCCGGGGCCGGGCCGGGAGCCAGCACGGCGCAGGCCACTGGGACCCCAACCGAGGTGCCCGTGGCCTGGCGGGGGTCTCGGGGCTCCTGGGCTGGAAGCTGACCCGCGCCGTGTTCACAGCTGGTTCTTCGGCGGCACCAGCCGGACGCAGGCCCAGCAGATGCTCCTCTCCCCCGACAACGCGCCCGGGGCCTTCCTGGTGCGGCCCAGCGAGAGCAGCCTGGGCGGCTACTCCCTGTCAGGTACTCGGGCGCGGGCCCAGGGCCGCCTCGCCCAGCCCGCCAGGCAGCGCCCCCATCCCCCTCGCCCAGCCCGCCAGGCAGTGCTGGCCCTGGAGCACGCCCACTCCACCCAGGCCTGGAGGAGACGCGTGGTCACCTCCCGCACTTGCTCACTCACTCATTCATGCACTCACTTGTTCACTCACTTGTCCACTCATTTGTTCACTCACTCATCCACTCATTCATTCATTCATCCACTCACTTGTTCACTCACTCATCCACTCATTTGTTCACTCATTCATGTACTCATTTGTTCACTCACTCTTCCACTCGTTCATTCTTCCGCTCATTTGTTCACTCACTCATCGACTCATTCATTCATTCATCTGCTCATTTGTTCACTCACTCATCCACTCATTCATTCATTCATCCACTCATTTGTTCACTCACTCATCCACTCATTCATTCATTCATCCACTCATTTGTTCACTCACTCATCCACTCATTCATTCATCCACTCATTTGTTCACTCACTCATCTACTCCTTCATTCATTCATCTACTCATTTGTTCACTCATCCACTCATTCATTCATTCATCCACTCATTTGTTCACTCAGTCATCCACTTGCTCATTCATTCATTCATCCACTCACTCATTTGTTCATTCACTCATCCACTCATTCATTCGTCCACTCATTTGTTCACTCACTCATCCACTCATTTGTTCACTCATTCATCCACTTGCTCATTCATTCATTTATCCACTCATTTGTTCACTCATCCACTCATTCATTCATTCATCCACTCATTTGTTCACTCATTCATCCACTTGCTCATTCATTCATTTATCCACTCATTTGTTCACTCATGCATTCACTCATTCATTCATTCATCCAGTCATTCATTCATTCATCCACTCATTGGTTCATTCATCCACTCATCCACCCACCCACTCATCCATTCACTCATTTATTCATTTACCACCACTTACCTTTTCATTCATTCATCCACACATTCATTTATTCACATATTCTTTCATTTATTTACTACTCATTTATTCATTCATTTGTATATTGACTCACTTGTTAACTCATTTCATTTATTCGTTTACTCATTCACTCATTCCCTTCTTTCTTCTTTCACTTACTCCTTCACCCATTCATCCAGCAAGTATCTATTAAGTGCCTGCTGCATGCACTTGGTTGACAGAAAAGCTCCCCCAGGTGCCCCTGGCCAGCTGCCTCGCACTCCCTCCTCCTCCACGCGGCTCTGCCGTCCCAGAGTCCCCAGGTCTGGGCCAGGCCCCTGCAGGGTGTGGCGGGGATCTGTCCTGGTGTAGGTCAGGCCGCTGCAGTCAGTGTGGTCTCCATCCCTGCACCCTCCCCAGTCCGGGCCCAGGCCAAAGTCTGCCACTACCGCATCTCCACGGCGACCGACGGGAGCCTCTACCTGCAGAAGGGCCGGCTCTTCCCCAGCCTGGAGACGCTGCTCGCCTACTACAAGGCCAACTGGAAGCTGCTCCAGCACCCACTGCTGCAGCCCTGTGTGCTCCAGGTGGGCCTGTGCCCCGCACCCACCCGTCCCAGAGTCCCCGGGTGGTGGGTGAGCTTGGGGTGTGGGGGGCCCACCCAGGGTCAGGGCTGCTCCCAGCAGGTGGTCCAGCTCGGTCCCTGAGGCTGGTGGAGGAACGTGCAGGGGATTCCTGGGGCCTCGGGTCGGGAGAGGAGAGCCGTAGGGTGTGCCCAGCTCCGCAGGGGAACGGTGCCCACAGCTGGCCCAGGTAGAAGCTGGGGGAGGAGACGCCAATCACACGACGCTGCACCTGCCCGGAGCCGCAGGGACTGTCCCAGACAAGCCGTCCTGCCGAGGGGCCAGGGCAGCAATCTGGTTCCTCTGGTCCCACAATGGCAGCCCAGCCAGGGGAGTAATGAATGTTTGTGCACGGATGTCTGGCTTGGGTCAAGGTGCCACTTAGGTCCCCAAAGCGATTAGCTCCTGCTGCACTGGGCGGGGCTGCCCTGCCAGCACCTGGCGAGCGTGGGTGGGGAGGGGGGGAGGGCAGGGCACTGAGCACCCGTCCCCGCAGAAGCCCCCAGAGCAGGACGAGTGGGAGAGGCCGCGCTCGGAGTTCGCCCTCCGGAGGAAGCTGGGCAAAGGCTACTTCGGGGAGGTGTGGGAAGGCCTGTGGCGCGGCTCCATGCCCGTGGCCGTCAAGGTCATCAGATCAGGTGAGGCCACCGCCCTCGGCCCCCCCCAGCCCCGGGCAGCAACGCCGGCGGCCTGGGCGGTCCTGGAGCTGGGCCCTCTCCCGCAGCCGACGTGAAGCTTGCTGACCTCGCCAAGGAGATCCAGACGCTGAAGAGCCTGAGGCACGAGCGGCTCATCCGGCTGCACGCGGTGTGCTCCGCCGGGGAGCCCGTGTACATCGTCACCGAGCTCATGCGCAAGGGCAGCCTGCAGGCCTTCCTGGGCAGTGAGTACCCCCCGCCGCCCGGCAGCCGAGCCCCGGGGCCTTAAAGGTGAAGCGGCCGTCGGAATGGACACAGGAGGCCCTGCTGGGGGGCGGGCAGCGGGGTCTGGGCCAGTCCGGGTTTTGCCGGGGGACCGTCGGAGCCCTGTGGGTCCAGGGCTGGGGCTGGAGTCTGGGCGGAGGGTGTAGCCGTCTGGCCACCAGCCTCCGTCCAGGGGGACCGTGGGCCCAGCCCACACCTAGGCCCTTCTCAGCCCCTGGTTTCCGATGGGGCCTGGGCCATGCACCAAGGAGCAGCTGCCTGGCAGGGTCTCCGGGCGAGCGACCCCTCCTGTCTTGCTCAGTGCCCAGCGCGGCTCCTCGGGCTGTGCTGTCCTGCCCCAGCTTAGAGATGAGCAGACACTGAAGGGTGACGTGATGAGGCAGGTGCCCCCGTACGGTCCCTGCCCTGCCACGTGAGGCCCTGCACCCCCTCCCCTGCAGGCCCCGAGGGCCAGGCCCTGAGCGCCCCCCTGCTGCTGAGCTTCGCCCGCCAGGTGGCCGAGGGCATGAGCTACCTGGAGCAGCGGCGCATCGTGCACCGGGACCTGGCCGCCAGGAACGTGCTCGTGGACGACGGCCTGGCCTGCAAGGTGGCCGACTTCGGCCTGGCCCGGCTGCTCAAGGTCAGCGGGGCCCTGGTTACCCCCTGGGGCCAGAGTGGGCGGGGGGGCGGGGAGGTCGCGGCCGCACCTGCCCCACCGCCGCCCCCCCCCCACAGGACGACATCTACTCCCCGAGCAGCGGCTCCAAGATCCCCGTCAAGTGGACGGCGCCCGAGGCGGCCACTTACCGTGTCTTCTCCCAGAAGTCAGACGTCTGGTCCTTCGGGGTCCTGCTGTACGAGGTCTTCACCTACGGCCAGTGTCCCTACGAGGGTGCGTCCCAGGCCTGGGGGCTGCTGCTGGGGGGCCTGCAGGGTCCAGCTGGGGGCGGCCGAGCCGCGGGGGTGGGGCCGGGGGTCCCCGCGGCAGCTGCTCTCGCTCGCCCTCCCCAGGGATGACCAACCACGAGACGCTGCAGCAGATCATGCGGGGCTACCGCCTGCCGTGCCCGGCTGCCTGCCCGGCAGAGGTGTATGTGCTCATGCTCGAGTGCTGGCGGGGCAGCCCCGAGGAGCGGCCGGCCTTCGCTGTGCTGCAGGAGAAGCTGCGCGGCCTCCCCCGGTGCCTCCCGCTCGCCCCGACTTGACCCGGCCCGGACACCTCCCGGGCTGTGGCAGGAGGTCCCCCCAGGACAGCACGTCCAGGAAGCCGGATAGCTGGGAGCAAGACGCCCCTGGCTGTGGGCCTCGGGCACGGACACGCAAGAGGTGACGCTCCCAGACGGTGCAAGGGCCTCCGCCCAGGGAGCACGGAAGGGTCTGGTGGAGCCTTGGGGAGCTGCCAGGCAGAGAAGCCTGGGGTCCAGCACGGTCCCTCCTGGCCCAAGCCTGCCGCTCTGGCCCCCCGACCCCTTCCAGGGTCAAGAGCTGGGGGCCGATTTCCCCCCAAGTCCCACGTCAGGTTTGTCGAAGTGGCCGGTGCCAGGTCCCCAGGCTGTGCATGTGTGGGGACCGCCCTGCCCTGGCCCTCAGGTGTGCAAACCCATGCACGCATACAGACAGCGCTCAATAAATACATACCGCCCGACTCAGACACGCACAGGCATGCGCCACATACAGCTCAGCCCCCAAACCCAGACCCAGGTGCTGGAGCTGGGGGGCTCCCTGCAGCTAGAACAGGTAGGAGGGAGCGGGTCCCGTGTGGCCAGGCCCCTCCCCAGGACACTGTGGTGTGCAGGGGCGGGGGGGGGTGCTGGGGTGTAGCAGGAGCCGCGTGAGAAGCATCTCAGTCCCGGGGCCCGTGTGGAAGGGACAGGCTGGGACTGAGGTGGGAGAGGCTGGGTCAGGCCACAGGGGTCTGTGAACCGTCCCTGAGGCTGTTTCCAGGGCTTCAGGATGGGCAGGAGCCAGGGCAGTCTCCTGGCTGGGCAGGGTTGGGGGGCAGCAGGGCGGATGCCGTGGTGTGCTGGCAACGAGTAACATCCAGCTCTCTGGGGAAAGAGCGTGGACAGAGTTGGCCTTGCAGGTGAACCCACCGGGAGTCAGCAGAGACCGGCACAGCCGCACCTGTGCACCTGTGCAGGCTCCAAGGCCTGTGGGGACAGAGAGCGCAGGGACAGCTCAGGCCGGACTGGGCTCAGCGTCCCTCAGAGGGCCAGAGCTCAGGGTTAGCGCCTCACTGCTGACCGCAGGCCCTGCTGTGCCCAGGGACAGGAGGGGCTGGGAGAGGGGCCCGCAGGCAGGTAGGGACGAGCCCACTCGGGCACCAGGGCAGGGCTCACAGCAGTCCGGAGTGGCGGGAACGGCCCATCCCGGCCTGGCGGAAGCTCAGGCGTGAACCCGTGAGAGGACGGAGGCTCTTAGAGCCTTGGATGCCAGGCTGGGGCTGCCCCCGAGCCCTGCGGTAGGCGGGGCAGCAGGGTCTGTCTGAGCCTCTGGGGCTCCGGCCAGTAGGGCCACGCCCCTGCCTCGCCTCACCCCTGACCTCCGGCCGGCTGGCCTGGGAGGGCCTTGAGGTGGGGGCTGGGATGGGCACGGCCACGGAGCAGGTGTGGCTGGGGCACCTCGCGCTCCACAGCCCAGGAGGCCTCTCCTCAGCCACGGGGGTGGCGCTCCTGGGCCTCGGGCCGGGCCGGGATGCTCCTGCCTCCAGGTGTGGCTCAGACAGAACCTCCGCACCTGTGTGCCAGGGACTCGAGGGGCCCCTGGACACAGGCTCGTGTGCCCAGAGGCCCAGGGCAGGGGGCACTGGAGTGGGGGCCGGTGGGGGTCGACAGTGCCATTGTTTCTCTGTCCAATAAAAAGTTTAAATACCCACATTTTATTTATTTATTTTTTTTGAGACAGAGTCTCGCTCTGTTGCCTGGGCTAGAGTGCCGTGGTGTCAGCCTCACTCACAGCAACCTCAGACTCTTGGGCTTAAGTGATCCTCCTATCTCAGCCTCTCAAGTAGCTGGGACTACAGGCATAAACCACCATGCCCGGCTAGTTTTTTTCTATATATTTTTAGTTGGCCAATTAATTTCTTTCTATTTTTAGTAGAGACGGGGTCTCGCTCTTGCTCAGGCTGGTCTCGAACTCCTGACCTTGAGCGATCCTCCTGCGCTGTTGGCCTCCCAGAGTACTAGGATTACAGGTATGAGCCATCGTGCCTGGCCAAAATACCCAGTTTAGTTTGTGATTTTCCTGTAGGTCTTCAGAGTCGGCCGGGAGCTGGAGGGCCACCCCAGGGAGAGGGGTCAGCTGAGTCTCAGGGGCCTCCCTGGGTGGGGGCGGGAGGTGGAGGCCGAGGGACTGGGCCGCCGCAGCTCACAGTCCTTGGGCGCCCCCTCGTGTCTGTCTCCGGGAGGGCAGTGCCAGCTTCGTGGGCTGGGAACCCAGGTTCCACCTTTGGGGACCCCCATGCCCTCGCCCCCCTCTGGAAACTGCTGTAGCCCCTGCACAGCTGTCACGGCCCCGAGCCCCACGCCCCGGCCCACCCTGCTGATTCCAGCCCAGCCTGCTCTGGGGCGGCCCCTCCAGGCCAGAGTCGCTGGCCGCTCAGGGACCGAGGTCCTGGCCCCAGTGGGGGTCTCACCCAGGGCCCCTCGGCAAGGAGGTGGGTCTCAACCCCCCCCCCTGCCCACCGCGGATCCTCCTCCTGCCCCGGCGGCTTTCCCTCAGCCCCGTTGCCGGGTTAGTGCCGCAGCAGACCTGCACCACCAAGGCAGCGGTGGCTTCCCTCTCCCCAGGCAGTGGGTGGTTCTGGGTCGCGGCTGATGCACCCGTTTGCACCCTCCTTCCCCGACGTCTCTTCTGTCCATGGTCAGGTCACAAAAGGCTTATTGGTCTCGGTTCTGAGCCACTTGAAAGGTATTTTGGATGTTCAAGAAGAAAACAAAAGAGTTCAGTACTGCCACGAATAATATTCACTGTTTGTTCCAGCTGAAATCTGACAGCAGGATGTTTGTGGTTTTGTTTGTTTCTGAGACAGGCTCTTGCGCAGCCTTCAATCTGGACTGGAATGTGGAGAGCAGTGGCGTCACCACAGGTCACTCCAGCCTCAGACTCCTGGGCTCATGCGATCCTCCTGCCTCAGCCTCCGGAGTAGCTGGGACTACAGGCAGGCACCACCATGCCCAGTTGATTTTTTCTGTGTTTAGTAGAGACAGGGGTCTCAACTCTTGCTTAGGCTGGTCTCGAATTCCTGACCTCAAGCGATCCTCCCGTCTCGGCCTCCCGAGTGCTGGGATTACAGGCATGAGCCACCACACCCGGCCTGAAAGGGTTTTTTAAAAAGAGCTCTATGGTCAGAATTGCCCTAGGCTGGGCTCGGTGGTTCACACCTGTAATCCTAGCACTCTGGGAGGCCCAGGTGGGAGGATCACTCAACATCAGGAGTTTAAAACCAGCCTGAGCAAGGGCAAGACCCCCGTCCCTGCTAAAAATAGAAAGAAATTAATTGGCCAACTAATATATATAGAAAAAATTAGCCGGGCATGGTGGCGCATGCCTGTAGTCCCAGCTACTCGGGAGGCTGAGGCAGGAGGATCTCTTGAGTCCAGGAGTTTGAGGTTGCTGTGAGCTAGGCTGATACCACAGCACTCACTCTAGCCTGGGCAACAGAGTGAGACTCTGTCTCAAAAAAAAAAAAAAAAAAGCTGGCCTAATTGGAAGTTGATAGTAAGGCCAAATATATAACTTTTCAAGGCCTCTCTGATCTCTGTTGATGGGAATGTCTCAGTTCTTAAACCCCTGTGGACAATAGGTCCGGACTGTCCACTCCCCGTTGGAACTACCAGCCCCTAAGGCCCTGACACCCCTGTCCTTGGCCAACCGTGGCCCTCGCCAGCTCCCGTGACTCTTGGTCGGTCCCCCAAAAGCCCAACGGCTCCACCACCCACGCCTGCCAGAGCTTCCCCTTCCTGCTGCAGCTTCTCGGCTTTGGCCTCTGGGATCTGCCCCCAGGGCACTCCAGGTCCCCCAAAGCGACTGCCTGGAGCCGGAGGGAAGAGGCTGGAAGAGCCATGACAAGGCCGATGCGTGAAGACAAATCCACTGCTGCCCAGACCGGCTCTCAGACACCAGGCACCCCAAACTCCTGGAGAAAACGCCCTCTCTCTTCCCCTGAGACACACGTTTTCTACCCTGTCACCTCTAGAATCTGTCATCGTTTCCAAGTACGAACTACAAGGAGATGACTGTTATCAGAAAGGAAAAAAAGAGGGATTTGGAAACTGGGCAAATGAAAAATCTGAGAGGTCTTTCCCACAAATATTAGCTAAAGGCTCCAGCCATCCGAGGGGGTGACAGTAACTCATCCCATTTTGCCACAAGCACAAGTTGGATACAAACATAAAGGGAGATAAACCTGTGTGTTTGTGTGACTATGCTCTGCTGACTCACGAATAAACATTTCAAAATTAAAGTTATAAGGTCTGTTTGCGTCTGTCTGTATGTTTATGTATATAGGGGTGTTTATATTATGCGTGATATTTTTCTGTCTCCAGATGGTATTACCAAATCAATTTATAAAATACCTTTAAAAAGCTCTGTTCAGATTGGCTTAGAGATGAGTGCTTGTATAAAGTAAATATCCTAAAACTCTCAGAAATACAGAAACTAAGCCAAATTTTTATTTATTTTTTTTTGAGACAGAGTCTCACTCTGTTGCCCAGGCTAGAGTGAGTGCCGTGGCGTCAGGCTAGCTCACAGCCACCGTGCCCGGCTAATTCTTTCTATATATTTTTTTATTTTTAGTTGTCCAGCTAATTTCTTTCAATTTTTTTAGTAGAGACGGGGTCTCGCTCTTGCTCAGGCTGGTTTCGAACTCCTGACCTTGAGAGATACACCCGCCTCGGCCTCCCAGAGTGCTAGGATTACAGGCTGAGCCACTGCGCCCACCGGGCAGTAATAGATATTCATTCAATGCCTGGGGCATTTCCAAGTAAGATAAAATACTGAAACATTTGTTTTAATTACTAAGCATAAGTGTAAGTTTATATTCTTTTGGAATCTTGTTTTCACACGGTATGGAAAAGCCAAGCATACCTGGGTCTGTTGATGAACACGAGCAAGTGCATGCTCCCAGAAATCATGACCCAGTGTCCCGCCGGACACCAGCTTTGCTCATTCCTAGTTTTCACTAGAAATTAAGGTTACTAAGAGTCATGGGTGATATATACAATTAAAGCTACTAGAAATAATAAAGGAAGTAACTGCATGCAAAGGCACTTTTGGTGAGGAAAGTCACAGGTATGGAGGGTAAGACTGTGTTATCCTCTTAGGGGAAAAAGAAGCACTTAGTTCTGTGCTAAAGTAGAATTACTGGTTCTCCCAGAATGAGAAAAGAAAAATGCAGGAAGGAAAAAACACTGGCGGGTATTAAGAAAAGATTGTAAAGGTTTGTGGAAAAGGGATCTCATCTACGTAGCCAACGTTGGCTAAGACTGGATGGGTTTATTTATAAAGTTCCGTCCAGGCCGGGTGTGGTGGCTCACGCCTGTAATCCTAGTGCTCTGGGAGGCCGAGGCAGGAGGATTGCTTAAGCTCAGGAGTTCAAGACCAGCCTGAGCAAGAGCAAGACCCTGTCTCTACTATAAATAGAAATTAGCCCAAACAACTAAAAATAGAAAAAATTAGCCGGGCATGGTGGCACATGCCTGTAGTTCCAGCTATCTGGGAGGCTGAGGCAGGAGGATTGCTTGAGCCCAGGAGTTTGAGGTTGCTGTGCACTAGGGTGAAGCCACAGCACTCTAGCCCAGGCAAGAGAGAGACTCTGTCTCAAACAAACAAACAAAATAATAAAGTTCCATCCAAAATTAGCTTTAGTATTAATAGTACACTGATCCAGAACCAGAACTTGGTCTTATGAAAAGTTTTTATGTAATTGGGCTAGGAAACAACAATTTTGTGTTTTAAGGTAATTTCTTGTGCTTCATATTATCTTTTATTTGGTTATTGATTACTGAAAAGTGAGTCTTCTCAATATTAAAAGAGCCACGTTTTGTTCACAACATAACTCACTGTATTTGCCTTTAATTTTCACTTTCATTAAATAAACAAGATCATATTTAATCAAGTTTTTAAAACTTTTTAATATTTGTTACAACTTCCTAAAATAAAATTCTAAATTAAGTATTTTTGACCATGAACTAACTTTGTGAGTTTCCAGAAAGGCTTCTGGGACATCTCAAAAGAACTTGTCTCCCACTTTATAAAAGAGAGATGTTAAATTAATTAGGCTTAATTTGGTATGTTAAATTATATAGAAAAGCATTTTCAAACAGTAAGTAATGTTAAATCTTCTTGCGGTTATATTTATGGCTGTTATTGATGAGTGCTGCAGAAATTGTATAAAATTCCTAGAAATCTACTGTTATCCTATGATATATATCCTATCTGACATTATTCCTAGAAATCTGATATAACATTGTCAGTCATAATTTTGGCTGTTACAGTGTTGAGTGCCATAGAAACGACATTTCCTTGTTGACGGTGCCATTGGTATAGTGAACATTCATCGGATCCTTGGCTATCTTGAGACTTTTGCAATTCAGTTACTGTTTTACTTTATTTTATGAAAGCGTTTGCAATCAGCTACAGTCCCAAGTTGTTTCTTCTTCAAGGAGACCCATGGAAAAGTGGGACAGGCATCCAGAATACAGGCTTCTGGTAACTTTGAGATCCCACCATTGGACTGGGCAAGAACTTCCAGAACCTGACGGGTTCATGAAGCTCCTACCCAAGGTCAACCAGAGCAAGATTTAATTACACGGGAATGGATGAAGTGATGAGGACAATGTTTTGTGATTTTTGTTTGAAACATTACTAGTTCTTTACTGTTTTGTTTTTCAGATTTAAGGAAATGCTTTCTCTTCTTCTTAAACTATCTATAGCTTACAATTTGGTAAAGGATATCTTTAAAGATATCACAAAGAAAATATTTTTTTTCTTTCTTCCTACCTATTCCCTCCAGATTCGAGAAAATATTAGTATTCTTATTTTTATGGCGATATATACTTATTTGCATGAGTTCAGTAAGAACCTGTTCTTGAAATGACACAGCTGCAAACACTGGGTTTATTACCAAGGCTTTGACTAGAATGTCATTATTTTCAGATACGACCACGTAACTTTAAGGAGCCAAAAAAGCTCCCTGGAAAGAAATTGCCCTCCTACCTCGTCCATGTTTCCTCACATGGCTGTTACAGAGGGGTAAGGAATGCCAATTCCTGGCATGCCCAAAAATCTTAAAGATACTTCAAGGACTTCAAGAAGAGAGGAATTCACCCAAATCTATAGGTAGTGCAGGGAGAGGCTTTGGCTTGTTTTCATAGTCCCAAGCAGCTTTTAAAAGTCCACTGTCTCAAATGCAGTGGCTTCAAATGAAGAAAAAAAAAAAAAAAGAATAAAATTATCTAAAAAAAAAAAGTCCACTGTCAGATTCCTCATCGAAAGATCCAGCAAAGCAAACTTAAAAGGAGTCCATGTGGTTAATTGCTATTCTTGCTGCACTTATGTGAATAGTTAGAACAACTTTAGTATGTGTTGACTATAGACAGAAAAATTGTTCCAGAAGAAAACTGTGGTACACCTGATATTATTAACAGATCCCACCCCTGTCCAGTGCTTTTGAGGTCTGTTTTCTACCTGTAATAAGGACTGGATCCTGAAACCTCCAATACCTGGCTACAGCTCTCCAAACTAGTATTTCCAATCTCTCATCCACCCTTCTGGCTTGGGACTGATTGCTAAAGATTAAAACTGCCCTTTTCCTGAAGCTCTGCAAAAGCTGAAGCTGGGCCCTTTGACAGACTTCAGAGATCACCAGGACTCACTCGCAAGTGGACCAGCTCGGTGACATGCAAACCGCAAACCAGAAGAACCTGTCCCCCTGCCCTCCCTCTGAAGATGCTTCAAGTCCAACACCTAGAATCTCAACCGGCTGCCCTATGGACTGGAAAACTGAGTTTGTAGTTTGTTCTAATCATTTGCCTTTTTCTTTTGTTTGCACAGAAATGCCTCTTAGCAAACAGCCGATTGAGCAACCACACACAGGCTACCTTTGGTGGAATCCCGCCTGCAGCGCTGCCTCCTGAACTAAGATGACTGGTAACTGTTTAACTGGACTGGCCTCTTCCCCGCTGCGGGAGGCAGGGCCAGCATGTGGCGGGACAACCCACCAACAGTGTCCGCTGCTTCCTGGGGACCTTTCAGACAGGAGACATGGTAGCTTGAAAACTGAGAAGACATAAGTAGGAAGCCACTCTCCCCTCCCCCTACTCTTCCCTGAAGCAGGCCCAGGAAGGGTGCACTCTGACCTCCTCCCTCCCGACCGCCTAAAGACCCTCATGTGGCAGGTGTCCTGCCCTATACCCAAAGGAAGGAAGGTCCACAGGGTGACCAAGGAGACTCTGCACACTCAGGTGCTGCTAAGTTCCCCCAGTTTATTGCCATTAGACTACAATGTCCGCCAATCATACCTCTGCATGACTTTCCACAAAATACAGAGATTTCCCCGTTTCTTTGGACCTTCATTCCAAAAGCTCCCATGTCACACACAACTTGCATTAAATAAACATGTGGCTTTTCTTTTGCTAATCTTCCTTGTTCTAAAGGTCTTGGCTGGCAGGGCGTGGTGGCTCACGCCTGTAATCCTAGCACTCTGGGAGGCCGAGGCAGGTGGATCATTGGAGCTCATGAGTTTGAGACCAGCCTGAGCAAGAGCGAGACCCACCCATCTCTACTAAAAATAGAAAGAAATTAATTGGCCAACTAGAAATATATAGAAAAAATTAGCAGGGCACAGTGGCACATGCCTATAGTCCCAGCTACCCAGGAGGCTGAGGCAGAATTGCTTGAGCCCAGGAGTTGGAGGTTGCTGTGAGCTGTGATGACACCATGGCTTCTAACCTGGCCAACGTGTAGCTTTTATTTTGCTAATCTTCCTTGCTTTAAGGGTCTCTGCCAGGAAGCTTCTGACAGGTAAGGAAAAGGTAACACTTTCCTCCCGGCTGCGGCCTCCAGGCCAAGGGCACTGCGGGGGAGGGAGCTCCTGCAGCCCAGGCCTGTCCTGGCCAGGGCAGAGGACCCACCAGCTCTGGACAGCACCAGGCCCTGGCTCAACACTGGGCTGTGCAACCCCAGCTGCCTCCAGAGCCAGGAAAGTCCCTCCTGCCAGCGGGGCTCCGTCCTCGGTCCTGACCCAGAGCCCTCCGCTCAGTGAAGATGGGGGCCACGCGTGGAGGGGCCCTGAGCTTCAGCTGGGCCCCCGCTTCAATACCAGCCCCCACCCACCCCTCAACCTCTGAGTGGGGCTCAGGCCACCCTCTGGATATTCCCCATCGTGGGACCATGCGAGGTGGGAAAGTGCCCTCCTCGTCCCAGCCTCAGCACTGGCCACCTGGCTGGAACTGACCCTACCCTGAGGGCAGGCGGGAGGGAGGCTGGGCTATCAGTGGCCACAAGCCACACAGATGCCTTCCGATGGACGAGTGCAGCTATTTATAGCATAGTGGGGGTGGGGCAGCAGGCCAGGACGGCCCTCCCTTCACTGTCCCTGGCCTCCCACCAAGCCTTCATCCACCTGACTCCAGCCCCCTAAGATGCCCCCCAACGACCTGGGTCAATGCCTGCTGGACACTCGAGGTGTGTGGACATGCATCCCAAGAGGTGATAGCCCCTGCAGAGCCCCTACCCCTGTGCCCTGTGCCAAACGCCTGGCCCGCACGCCCCAGGTGCTCCAGTGCACCTGGCAGGTGCCCACCTCTGACCTATAAGCTGGGCTACCTGTGGCAGGAGGCCCCCAGCCTCAGCCTGTGTTGGGTGCTCCCAGGGTGGGGGGTAATTACGGGAGGGCCCTGGGAGAGACAGCCCCATGACAGCCAGGAGGAATGGTCCCCTCAAGGGGCATCAGCTCCTTCCTGTTGAAAACTCCCAAACCCGAGGCCAGGGGCCCAGGCGCGTCCAGAAGCCCCACCTGGTGGCCATGGGGCGGCACCGAGTCACTCAGAGCACCAGCCTCCCTGGTCCATCCTGAGTGGTGTCCTGTCGGTTTCCTGTCCAGCTCCAGGAATGCCTGCTGTCCCAGGCCCCCAGGAGCGGCACGGCATGCCACCCTTCCTGGGCCAGGCCTCAGAGGTGGCCCTGCGGTGAGGAAGTTCGCTGCAGGGCCTGCCCCTCGCCAGGGAGGGAGGAGGTCAGAGGGGTTCTCAACTGCTCAGACAGACCCTGGGCCCACACAATTCACTACACACCACCGGCCGCTGCTGGCTGCTTGGAGTTTATTTTCCACTTGATGCGAGGCCCAGGAGTTAGGGTGTCTGGAAGCTCGGGTGTGCTGGGACAGCAGAGAGCAGGGCTTGCTGACTTCCGGTGTTGCCACCAAAGAACCCAACTTCCTTCCTGCTCCGGCAGCCTGGTCTAGGGCAGGCTGGGCCCTGCAGCCCAGCCTGGGCTGGTGGCGACGGTCAGGTTGGGGGACCGGCTGTGCCGGGTGGGCTGCAGGGCTGCGTCCTCGTGGCTGCTGGGGCCAGGCCGCAGGTGGTCACGCTCCTGGAGGCCTGGGGGGCTTCCGAGCTGGGGGAGAGCATGGGTCAGAGGGTGCTTGACACCCGCCACCCCAGACCCCACGCCCACCCCCAGGAAGAGGGACTCACTGCTCCGGGGACTCCACAACCGTGGTCATGAAAGGGAGAGTGGACTTCCCGAAGAAGAAGCTCGCCCACCAGTGCCCTGGGTCGGCTTTGGGCAGACCTGGGAGAAGCAAAGGGGGTCAGAACGCGGCCCGCTCCCGGGGGACGCTCCCGAGGTCGCGGGGCGCGAGGGGGGCGCACTCACCCGGGGGGTGGGGGATGGCTTCCCCGGGGCCCTCGGCGCTCCCGCACGAGCTGCTGCTGGAAGCGGAGCCCAGGCGGCCTGCAGCGGAGAGGCCGGGTGAGCTGCGCGGAGCCCCCGTCCCCGCCCCCGGCCCGGAGGCAGCGCTGGGGCCCGCGCGGGGTCTACTTACGCCGGTAGTAGTCGTGCGTGGCCACGAGCGAGCCGCCGGAGGGGATGGCCGCCATGGTCCGGCTGGGCTGGGGGGCAGCTGCGTGCGGCAGGGGAGCCCGCGGTCAGCGCCGCGCGCGGGAAGGGCGCCCCGCGGGGCCGCAACGAGCCAGGCGGGGCTCGGACCCGGGAAGCCGTAGCCGTGGGGCGCGGGCGGCTCCAACCGGCCCGAACCGGCCGCGCAGCCAGAACAAAGGCGCTTTGTGCGCGGGGCCCGGCCTGCCCAGGACCCCCGCCCGGGGAGCGCGCCCCGGGACCAGCGCGCCCACGCCCGAAAGGAGCCCCGGGCCCGCGTCCCCGCGCTCAGTCCCGCCCGCCCCCGGCCCCGCTCATCCCACCCACCCGCTGGGCGGCCCTCACCTCGGCGGCGACCCCTTGCGGGCCTCGGCGCGCGGTGACGGGTGGCAGGGACGGGGGCGCTAGGCCACGGAGCCCATTTGCACAGGAGACCCCCAAGAGCCGCTCTTCGACCCAGACGCGCGCGCGCGCGGGGTGCGCACGCGCGGACGTGCCGCCTTATATGCGCTGGGGCCTCGGCGGGTCACGGGGGCGGGGGCGCCGAGGCCCCGCCCCGCCCAATTCGGCCCCGCCCCCGCCTCGGCCCGGCTCCCGCGTCCACGCCCGCCCCGCCGCGTTTGTTAGCCTGGAGCGGTTCGGGAAGCGTGTCGCGGCCCGGCATGGGCTCCGAGTGGTTAAAGAACCCCCGCCCGGGTGCCCCTCTCGGTCCGGCCCAGCCTGGCCAGCCCGTCTCTCTGCGGTCCTGGCTCCGGAGGAGCCTGCTCCACTCTCACTCGGAGTGGAGGGGGCGTCTGCTCATGCGCCCTCCATCCTGACAAGGGCCCCCGCGGCGTCCCCCTGCCCCCAGCTGTGGGCACCGGGTGGTACCAAGGTGCCGTGTGCCTGGAGCACTCCAGCCTGGCCTTCCAGGTCTTCGCCGCCCGGGGAAGCTGGGCACCTCGCCCGCGCCCCGCTCGGGGCGCTGCTGCCTCTGCAACCTTCAGCCCCGTCCTTAGCCCAGCTGGCATCCTGCCGGGGGGCTGGCCTGAGTGGAAGGTGGACCAGGCGCAGAGGGAGGCTTATTTGGGTGGTTTGGCTCAGGCGCTGCTGTTTGGGGACAAGTCTCCAGTCTCCGGGCCCCACTGCTCAGAGGCCCCCTATTGGGGGTCCCCCAGACTGTCTCTGGAAGGTGCCTGGGGCCTTGTGGACGGCCTGCCACACCCTGGCTTGTCAACCAAGAGGAGGCGCCTGGCTTCCTTCCCGGGCAGGAGTCAGCCTCCCTCTTCCTGCCGGAACCTCCCTGCTGCCTCCCTCTGCCCCAGAGAGGAAGCTGCCTGGCTAGGCTGGAAACTCGGTTTCTTTACCCCCAGGTCCTGGCTGGGTGGTGACTTCCCCTGGATGAGAGGGTCTAGTGGGGTCCCTGGGGACAGGTAGACTTCAGGGCTTCTCGAGTCAGCCCTGGGGGTTTTGACGCCTGACCCAGTTTGCTGTTCCCAGCCGGCAGGGACAGCCGTGTGCTGGCTCTGTGCTGGGTGGTGTTTGGGAGACTGAGGGGGATGGTGCCTTCGTGGGGTGCGGGCGGCTCAGCCAGGCACAGGGAATGGTGGGTGAAGGAGGGCTGCCTTCCAGTGGAAGGGCCAGTCTGGCGGCTGGACAGGAGAAGGGGCATAGGGTTCAAGCTGCAGTCTAAGGGGGAGGGCCTGAGTGGACACCCGACACACGGTGCCCGGTGCTGTGGGCCCAGGGCCACTGAGGAGGCAGGTGGGTCAGGCTGGTTGACACCAGGAGGGTGGAACTTTTTGGCAAGACCCAGGCTTGTCTCGTGGCTGCTTGAGTCACAGGCTCTGAAGGACCAAGGCCCAGGGCTTGGCCCTCCCCTGGGCTCCTGTGCTTGTGCGGCCTCAGGGCCCCAGACGGACTGTGGCCAGCACGAGGACCTGCCAGCACAGCAGCCTTGGGGGAAGACCTCGGCTGACAGCTAGAGCCCAGGAAGTGGGGTTAGGGCCCGCGGCCGGGGCCACCCTGTCTCAGAGGCCAGGAGCTGCCCAGCCAAATCCTGCGCATGGCGGTTACTCGGGCAGGGGCACGGCTGGCTGGGGCGAGGGCAGGACGGAGAGTGGGGGTGTGGGAGGACAGCCAGGCCAGGTCCCCTGCAGCAGACCTGTCCCCTGGGGGCGCTGGGCAGAAACAGCTGGGCCCGGGGGGCTGCCCTAAAGAAGGGGGCTGACTTAGGGATCCCTGGGGACGGGAGGCCTGCCTGGGCTTCTGCTGGGAGCGGCTTGGTGATCCGGGTACACCCTGGTCGGAGACGGGCAGGGCTGCGGGGCCTCTGTCCCCACCCAAACAGCCCAGCCTCGGTGAAGACCCTCCGAGACGAGGGCCAGGTCGTTGTCCTGCCGAGTGGCCGCTGGCCAGCCCCGGCTGGTGTTGGTGCCAGGAGAACCCAGGCTTAGGAGCCACAAGGCCGGGGCTGGACCCACAGCCCCTTCCCTCGGCCACCAGCGGCTAGCTCACTTCTCCGTGGCGGCATACACAGACATTCCGCGCATGCCAGGGAGCGTGAGCCGCTCTGCCGCTGGCTCTGAAGGCTCGGCAGCCCACTGGGCCGGTGTGGAGGGTTGCTGGGGCCACAGGGGCCGCAGGGGCTGGGAAGAGGAGCAGGAGAGACATTGCCCCTGAGTGTCCAGCTTCAGGGAAACGGGGACACAGAAGCCAACGGGACAGGAGACTCGTCACCCGGAAGCTGTGAGGCTGAGGCTGGACCCAGAGGGCTGCTGCAGGGAGGGAGGGAACGGCTCCGCCTCCTCCCCGCAGGTGGGGATGGAGGGGATGCTGAACCAGGTTTGTGGGGTCTCAGTGGAGGCGGTGCCTGTGTGAGGCTCACACTGTCTCGGTGCCTGGGGTGCCGTTGTCCCCTGTGCTGTGCTGTCCAGGTGTTTGGGGGCACAGTGAGGGTTCCGCCACCACGCTGCCCAGCCCCTGGACCACTCACCTGCATCCTGCTCTGTGGGTTTGCCTGCTCTGGACAGTTCGTATCAGTGGACTCATGCGCTGTGTGGCCTTTCGTGTTGGCCTCTGTCACTCACACAGTGTCTCCAAGGTTCATCCACATTGTAACACACTGGTGTTACACAGTGTGTTACATCAGAAATCCATTTCTTTTTTTTAATTTTTTCTGTTTTTTTTTTTTTTTTTTTCTGAGACAGTCTCCCTTTGTTCCCCAGGCTAGAGTGCCTTGGTGTAAGCGTAGCTCACAGCAACCTCACACTCCTGGGCTCAAGTGATCCTCCTGCCTCAGCCACCCAAGTAGCTGGGACTACAGGCATGGGCCACCATGATGGCTAAGTTTTTCTATATATTTTTAGTTGGTAATTAATTTCTTCTATCTTCAGTAGAGATGGGATCTCGCTCTTGTTCAGACTGGTTTCGAACTCCTGACCTTGAGCGATCCGCCTGCCTTGGCCTCCCAGAGTGCTAGGGTTACAGGTGTGAGCCACTGGGCCCGGCCAGAAATCCATTTATTTTTATGGCTGAATAATATTCCATTACACGGACACATGGCATTTTGTTTATCCACTCACGCTGCAATGGACATCAAGTTGTTCTGCCTTTTGGATGCTGTGAATGGTGCTGCTGTGAACGTTCCATGCACGAGTTTTTGTTTGAAGACCTGTCTTCAACTCTTTTGCATCTGTACCTGGGAGTGGAATTGCAGCTCACACGGTGATTCTGTGTTTAATGTATCAAGAAACTGCCAGACTGTCTTTGACAGTGGCTGGACCACTTTATATTCCCACCAGCAATGTAAGAAGTTCCAATTTCTCCACATGTTGCCAACACTTGTTATTTTCCATGTTTCTGATGATAGCCACTTTAGAAAGGGTGACATGGTATCTCATTGTTTGATGTGCGTTTTCCTAATGACCAGTGGTGCTGGGCATCTTTCTATGCTTATTGGCCATTTGTATGTCTTTTTTGGAGAACTGTTTCTTCATGCACGTTGCCTGTCTCTGAGTTGGGCTGTTTGTCTTTTTATTTTTGAGTTGTAAGAGTTCTTTATGTATTCTGAATACCAGACCCTTAGGTGATCTGATTTGCAAGTATTTTCTCCCATTCTGTGAGGCATATTTGCATTTTCTTGAGTGTCCTTTGATGCACAAAAAGTTTTGATTTTGGTGAAGTCCACTTTATATACCTTTTCTTTTGTTGCTTGTGGTTTTAGTGTCATGTCTAAGACCTTGTTTCCAAATCCAAGATGGTGAAGATTTACACTTATGTGTTCTTCCAACAGTTTTACATTTTATGAGATCATTGCTTCATTTCTAGTTGATTTTTTACTATACGGTATGAGATAAGGGTCCAGCTTCATTCTTTTGCAGGTGGACTTATAGTTTCCCAACGCCATTTCTTTCCATATATACACTCTGATTTTAGAAATTCCTATAAAACTAAAATAATCAAGACAATGTGGTCTTGGTGAGGAGATAGACACATAGATCAATGTAACACAATAGGGTCCAGAAATCCACCCACACAAAGGTGTCCAATTGTTGTTTGAAAAAGGCACAACAGTGATTCAATGGAGAAAGTATAATCTAGTCAACAGATGGTGCTGGAAGAATTGGACATACACATGCAAAAAAAGATAACCTTGACCTAAATCTCACGTCTTATACAAAAATGAACTACACACATGGATAATGTATCTAAGTATAAAATGTAAAACTATAAAACATTTAGAAGCAAGTACAGGAGATAATCTTCGGGACCTGGGTAAGCTAATGTCAAAAGCATGATCCATTTAAGGAAAGTATGGACACATCGGACTTCATTACAATTGAACACTTTGTCCTATGACTGACCCTGTTAAGAGACCATAAAGACAAAACACGCCCTGGGAGAAGATGTTTGCACCTGCAAAGGACTAGTATGCAGAACACATAGAGAACTCCCAAAACTCAAGACTGAAAAAACAAACGACTCAATTTAAAAATGGGCCAAGGATGTGAATAGATATTTCCCCAAAGAAGATATACACATGGATAATAAGCCCATGAAAAGATGCTCAACATCATTGGTCATTAGGGAAACCCACATCAAAACCAGAAGACACCACCTCAGCCCACGGGGACAACTCCAATCAAAGACACGCGGTCGGTCGGGCGCGGTGGCTCATACCTGTAATCCTAGCACTCTGGGAGGCTGAGGTGGGCAGATTGCTCGAAGTCAGGAGTTCGAAACCAGCCTGAGCAAGAGTGAGATCCCATCTCTATTATAAATAGAAAGAAATTAATTGATTCACTAAAAATATATATATAGAAAAAACTAGCCGGGCATGGTGGTGCATGCCTGTAGTCCCAGCTACTGGGGAGGCTGAGGCAGGAGGATTGCTTGAGCCCAGGGGTTTGAGGTTGCTGTGAGCTAGGCTGACGCCACGGCACTCACTCTAGCCTGGGCAACAGAGCGAGACTCTGTCTCAAAAAAAAAAAAAAAAAAAGACATGTGGTCATACGTGG